GATACTTGTGTGGAAAAATACTCTGTGCTGGTGAATGCAAGCCCATTTCAGGCACTGATGCTACATTAATATGGAAATTAAGATCTATCCAGTTAGAAGGAGAACAGTCACCAGAGAGAACATTTGTTTTCACTACACTACAAAACTGTTCACGTAATGTGAAGCCAGTGACTCCAATTTCCTTTTATTTAAATTTCACTCATTTCTGGGACTCACTGTCTGCCACATGTGAGTATGAACTAAATTTCAGTTTTTGGTCATTCTTTCTTTGACCGTTTTCCAGTCATCTGGAAAGGGAGATATAAATAAGTACATCAACCAAGAAAACTGAAATAATGAGCAAACTATTGTCAACTTTTTAAAAAATTATTATTATTATACTGCATTCAAAGCTGACAGGAAATCATGGGGAGAAAGAGCAACAAAGAACCCCGTCATGGTTGAAGCCCCTATAACACAATGCACCTGTAAGTCTACAGGCCTGTTGTGACAGAGGATCGTATGTTCAGAATATTTTGCAATTGTTTTTTCTCTTGCAGTATTTATGTTATATTATCAGTTTGAAAGTTAAATACATAGTTAATGTTTGAGCTTGCCATAGGTTTGGATTTATTGCAAATAGTCTGAATAACTATATACTTTTATTTCTTTAGTTATCATTTTTGATCATTAAATTTAAGTATTTTATTAGAAAATAAGCAAAATAAAAACAAACAAAGAAGAAAACCCCAGTAAGACTAAACAATACAAATAAACTTACTTGTATCTTCAGTGTCTCTGTGTAGCTTTGCCTGATGCCAGGTAGATGTGGCTGCCTTGGGCACATTGGCCTTATATACACATCCAACCATGACCCACCCCAAGTTGGTCATAGAGGAAAAACAGTCAAACAGAAACTAAAAGTGCCCCTTCAATGTCACACTGTGATTTTTTTAAACCATGTGAATCAGCCTCCTATTCTTGCACCACTCTCTGTACACTGCTGCCTCAGCAGTGTTTCAAAGGTAATATTATTACTTTACTTATTACTCCCTGCCAACAGTAATTAGTTACACAACTATTGCTTTTCATTTATTTCCAGACAAATGTAGGTGTTTCCATCTTATCAGTGATATTGTAACTAACAATTTTTTGGGTAATTAACTAATTATTAGTAATTAGTTACAATACTAATAACAGGGAAAAATAATATTACTTGTAATGAGTTACTGCCAAACACTGCTGTTGGGTTGGGTTATTGATTATAATATAATCAGACTGATTAAAGGTTTTTCCTTTCTCATTTAATTCTCGTCATTGTATCAAGCCACACAGATAAAGTTCATGCTACTTCTACTCCACTATATTTATTTGAGAGCTTGTTATGTTTATCCAGAATTGTTCATTCAATATTTATAAAATATAATAATAATAATAATAATAATAATAATAATAATAATAATAATAAGAGAATTAAAGGAAATAGAGGAAAGTTTCATTTTTACTCATTCAAGCAGCCTGTTCAATAAATGCCACTTGAATGAGTAAAAATTAAACTTTCCTGCAATATAATAGTTACGTGCAGGGGGATCGCTAAAGGTATATCTTATCTTATTCTATCTGGTCAGCTTCAGTTTCAGTTCATAGTTTAGTTTATACATTACACAACTCTTTCATACATCACTCAGTCATTCATTCATCTGCTGACACACTGATACTCCTTTTTTCCATTCAAAACGGTTTTCTTCCTGTATTTTAATGACAGTATGTACGAGTATGAATGTATGGGTGTATAAATATGTGAGAAAAAAAATTGGTGATCCATTTTCTAAGTCTGATCTGAATGGTTTTCTCTCCTCTGTTTATTACTTAAGAACAAATTTTAAAAAATATGTTTTGCCAGGTTAATCTTTTTAATTCTCTTAAATATTTTTATTTATTTCTTTATCTGTGAAAGAGGTGGAAAAATCAGTAGGAGGGTGTCAACAAAAGTAATATTGTAACTAACTACTCTGTACTGGATTGTGATATTATTATGGAAATATTTTTTGTAATTAGTTACAATACTGATCACTGGGAAAAATAATATTATTACTGTACTATTATTCCTTGTAATGAGTTACTGCCAAACACTGCTCTTGGGTTTGGTTATTGATTATAATATAATCAGACTGATTAAAGGTTTTTTCTTTTCTCGTTTAATTCTTGTGATCGTATCGAGCCACACAGATCAATACAGTACAATTTTCAGTCATTTGTACTTCATGCTACTTCTACTCCACTATATTTATTTGAGAGCTTGTTATGTCAATCCAGTATTGTTCATTCAATATGTATAATATATAATAATAATAATAATAATAAGAGAATTAAAGGAATTAGAAGAAAGTTTCATTTTTTCTCATTCAAGCGGCCTGTTCATTAAATGCCACTTGAATGAGTAAAAATGAAACTCTCCTGTAATATAATAGTTACGTGTACTCACTTCTCTGCTTTGTCTCCATTTGACCCCTGTCCTACATTCAGTCTAATGTCTATTGTATGAGTCACAATGGATGTCATCCTTAAAAGGTCAGCAGGCCTCAAGGCACTTTGCACCTACCTTGGTGAGGATGATTGACATCTCATTTGGGAGTATATGGTTTATGGTATATTGTATAACTTATTGTAATTACAGTAACACATACTGTTTCATATTGTAGAAAATGTTTCACACTCCTAATGTCACTCTCTCACTAGTTATTGCAGGCTAGAGAAAATGGCTTTCACAATGTGCTTTAGAAAGACACTCAATGAAAACAAAGCAAACCTACAGCCTCTCACTATGCACAGTATGAACATGCTGGTGGTTTTTATGTTTTAGCTCATTGATGACAAATACATTAACATTACCATGACCATTGTCCAAAGCCTCAATTTTAAAAAAATATATATTGAGAATTTATATATATTTATATAAAAGTAATGACTTGCTGCACGGTGTTGCAAGCAGGAGCTATTTTCTAGAAGAAAGTTTCGTTTTTACTGGCTGCTTGAATGAGTAAAAATGAAACTTTCCTCTAATTACTGTAATTCCTCTAATTCTCTCCTATCAGCTTACATGAAATACCATAGTTTTTTTCCTGCAAGTTTCTCAACAGACTGAGGACTGTTTGTACGGTTCTGATCTGTAGAGCCTAGAATTTAAATACCATGTGCCTTATTGTTTTATTTAAACTAAAATCAAACCAAAACGACCACAAAAGCCAATGTACATTTGTTTTTATACATATGATACATAAGACATGAGTAGAGGGAGGTAATGACAATTTAAAAAATACAGCATGCTGTTTGGTATTTTAGCCTATATCTATGCCCTTAAAACATGAGACACGATACCATACTGAGGCCTTAAATTTAAGAAAAATATAGCTCTAGTTGGGTCTATACACTTTTTCTTTTTAGTTTCTAACCATTCAAACCATTTTTTTCTCCTGTACTTAAAGCTGCAGTAGGTAACTTTTATATATATAAAACTTTTTTCATATTTTCAGAAATGTTCCTCATCTTTACAGTAGTAAATGAGACATATAACCTGTGAAGAAATCAGGTTCCTCTGGCCCCTCCTAGTGCTCCTAAAGGTGTTTGCAAGAACCAGAGCCGGTCCACCATATACTCGTGCGTAGGGGTCCGCCTTCTCCTCATGTCAAAGCGGGTGTCAATGTTAACAACTTTGATGAGAGGATCAACGGTGAATTGTGGGAACATTAATTTGGTAAACTTGTGTTCTCTGCAAGTTTGATGTCAGTAAATAACAGTCATATTAAGTTTGCTGTCTGTCTGTCTTACTAACAGCTGACAGTGCAGCTCCCTGTCTCTGTCTGTCTGTCTGTCTGTCTGTCTGTCTGTCTTCCAGTGCTATTCTGTGACTTTGTGTCTGACAAAAGTGAGAATGAAATATAACTATTTATTACAACAAACACCAACAGACAGCAGTGTTTATTAACTGCAGCTCGGGAATGATTACCGCGTCATATGAGCGTGCACAAAATTAAACTCATGCTTTCCAGCAGCGGTAATGTCTCTGGGCACCAGTCCAGACAAAATATGGGCATGATGGAACTCCTCACATCCTGTTTTATAATGTTGTGAGGACTGGACTAATAGGGCAGCAGAACTAAAGTAAGGTTTTAGTTTTTATTTCTAGTTTTTACTAAATATAATATAAATATATATTTAGTAATAAAAAACTACTGTCAGGATATAGTGAAACATACGACAAAAAGTTACCTACTGCAGCTTTAAGTCATAAACACAAGAGAGAGAAAACAATTCAGATCAGACTTGAAGGATCACCAGATTGTTTTCTTTCTCACTTACCTCAGTGGGCTTCTGTATTTTAGATATATGTGTATCTATATATGATTGTACATTGTGTGCATATATATATATATATATATATATATATACAGTGCCATGTTTCTACAGTAGCCTAGACGTGACAAACCAAACACTTGCTCTAGATAAGGGCGTTTATAATATCTCATTAAATGTGTTTGCTGTGTTGGTGCTAACTTGACTTCATTTCAATGTGATCAAATTATCTCAGTTTCAGGTTGTTGGGGCCTGATGTGCCTTAAACATCAGGATGTTACAGAATCATAGTTTGTCATTCAGTATCACATTATACAAGACAACAGCTGAGGTCCTGAACAGGAGTTTAGATATTTGCGGTCACTGAGGTACATAAAAACTTTTATTTCAAATTTGTTTCACTCCTGATAATATTGCTCCAGTAGGATGTGAATAAGAAAGAAGGAGGAAGAGTCATTGGTGAAGTTAGAACATAAAATGACATATCAAACACATGAACAAACAGTGAAGAGACCGACAGACAGAGAGAGGAAGAGACAGAAAGAGAGAGACAATTTGGACAGGGAGAGGGAGGCAAGAAACTGAATTGCTTAATTGGAGTCACTGCTTCTATATTACAGACAAACCCGTGTTTTTGTAATCCAACCAAGTTTTAGTCCCACTGACTGCTCTGCCATCCTACCAACTGGTCAGATCTTAGAGAAATTTCCATATTGAGGTAAGCTGATTTTTTTTTTTTTTTACGTGTGAATAACGTAGAAAATAAATGTTGGCTTTATAATGATTTACTCTCATGTGTAGTATGTGTATCCATGCTCACAAAAGCCTGAACCTTTATAAGTCTTGTTGTTTTTGTAGATGTAAAAAGTTAAAACTATATACATATAACTAAAGATAAATGAGATAAATTAGTAGTCATCTGTCCCTCTGATTGCTTGTTGGCAGTTTCTGTAGGGACTTCTTGTCTTGATAATAGTTTTAGAATGGAATATAAATAAATCATGAACAATAATTCTAAACAATAACGTTCTGTCATATAAGAAAAGTGCATTTTGTCCTGAGATCTGCAGTATGAATGTTGCATAATGACATTTTGAACAGACACAGCACTGTGTTGTCCTGTATAGTCATATTAGCCTAATCCACAGACTTGACTGTGAATAGTTTTCAGAGAGACTATTTCTAATTTCTACTACTTATTCTTTTTTGAGCAGTCATCTCTGTGGCTTATCCCGAGTAATTGGGATTTTGTTTTAGGAAAGCTCAGACACTGATATCGCAAAATCTCAGCAGATAAAACTGAAATGATCTGCATGGATTGGGAAAATATGTTTATGTAATTTGGGTAAACTTTAAAGTAAGAGAATCACAAATAAGAGAAAGGGTAAACATTTTGGAATATGTTTTTGTGTTTTGTTCATTTTTCCTAGAATTATTAAAAATAATTTCCATGTCCATAAAATCTGATGATTTGAATTTGATCAAATATAAGCCAAATATCCTCTAGGGTTACATTGTTGCGTTGAAAAATATCTATTATGTAATATATGGTAGTAGGCCTAGTGGTACTGGTAGTACTGCTTGTGTTGAGTAATTGAGCTATTGGAATCACAAGATCAGTATCCTTGCAGAACCTGAATTCATCCTCTGACAGAATACAGACAGACAGCATTGTGTGGATGACTTGAACTGATGAGACATATCAGGAGAAATCTAATTTTCCAACAGTCATACAGCGGGGCAATGCATTCCCATGGCAACCAGCAACAAAAAATGTCAAGCTTTAGTTTTATGCGGAGGAGTGGTGAAAAGGGGGTAACTGCTTTCACGTGCGAGCAGATGAGTTTAGTTATCAGTCATTACCAGAGTCTGTATGGATATTGAGTACAGGGGGTATTGTCTCACATGGAAGTAAAATCTGGATGCATTCCATTGCATCCAGATTAAAACACAAAGAGACCTGTGTTAGACTCAGCAGTACCTTTACCATAAATTAGATAATTCATTTATTGGTTCCACTAATGTGAGAAAGGTTGGACATCATGTGAAGGGAATATACAGTAAAGGGCAATGAGCAGGGGCACATGTCGTGTGATATATTGCTCCTATATTGCAATAGTGCTGATATATTGCATTATGCCAGTTTTGTGTGTGTGTGTATATGCATGTCAGTCTGTGTCTGTCCTGAGATGTAGGTTGTGAGCCCACTAGCAGCTCTATGAGGCATTATGTAGGCACAGTAATGCATTGAGGTAAATCCTAAATCCACATGCTAACATGCCAACAACGACAATGCTAAAATGCTGATGTTTAACAGGTCATTTTCACCATTTTCATCACATTAGTTACTTAGTTTAGCATGTAAGCATGCTAACATTTGCTGACATGCACTGACATCGTGACAACACAAAGCACAGTTGAGGCTGATGGGAATAATAATTAGTTTTGCAGGTATTTGAGTTGTTACAATTTATCCTGTGAGGATCATGAATGTCTTTAATGGCAATATCCTATATTTGTTTAATCATTTTGCACACACACACACACACACACACACACACACACACACACACACACACACACACAAATTGTCAACCTCATGCTGGCACCAGAGAAAATGTCAGGAGATCACTAAAGTCATTACTACTCATACTTCAGTCCCCCTACGTTAGTAGACCAGCTGATAGACCGACATTGCCATCCCAAGGGCCACAGTAGCAGTATAGATTTAGAGCTTTAAGCTGTTTTCAACACACACTCTCATGTACATTATGTGTTCTCTGTAGAGTCATAGCTCCATAAATGTAGGCAAAGCTGAATGTATTGGTTTTGGAACAAAGCATAAATTAAAACCTAACGGTTTTTCTGTTGAATATAATGTAACAAAGATACAGGAAATGTGTCCTATTATTTATCTTTGATATGAACTGGAACAGTGTCCAGTGAGTCCCTCTGTGTCGCTGGAAAAGAATAATGGGAAATTAAATCTGCTCATTCTCTTTTTTATGACTGGTGCCTGAACTTGTGAAGCTTTCATAGTTTTCATGATTGTATAATTATGATGTTTTAATTAGGCGTATTAGTGTAAAAATAGGACATTACTAGCATTAACATGTCACTCCCTTTTCCTGCCGGCCTCCTAGCCTAGACTTCAGGACTGCAATGGAAATAAGTCATGAAACTTAATTATTATATTTTTATTATATATTTATAATTTATTAGATATTGTGATATCTTGATGAAATATAGAAGGCCTACTGTATGCACATCTGTGTATTGTATTTTACTTTATAGAAACTAATCAATCAGCGTTCAAAAGCATACACTCTATACAGCACATTCTGATGATTTGGAGTTTGCTGTACTGACTTTGATTGATACATAATATTGGTAGAACACGTTTGCTAAATACTTAACATGCACTAGCATGGTTTTCTTTTTCTATGTTCCTTATTTGCGTCTAACACTGTTGTGTCTACACTGCACCGTCAAACCCATCAAACAACCACAAAAACTGAAGGAGCTGGCCTCACCACTGATTCTTTTTCTTTTTTCTCCTCTATAATAAATATCAACAGGATGGCCCTTCTCAGCTACCCTGTTCCAGAGTTGGATGTTACCTTGCAAGAAGTGAGCCGTGTCCTGCAGCTCACTTTAAGCCCTGACCTTTATCCTGAGTTCAAAAGTACGCTGGAACAGCAGAGGGAGCTCCTTCAAGAGGCCCAGCAAAAATTTGCAACCATTGCTGCAGGCCAAGAGAACTGGGTGACAGAGCAGTTCAAGAGAGGTCTGCTGTCTTGTGTTGACCCTCTGCCCACCTCCACAGCCCTCCCTGTTGTTCATCTTCCTTCCCAATCAAAACGATGTACCCAGTTGGGGAGGGCAGCCGCTCTACTCTGGGCAGCAGCAAAGCTTCACAGTGAGCCCTTGTTACTGGAGGGCAATGTGGCAATGGAGCGCACACAGCAGTCTGAGGTATTCGCTGCCAGCCGGATTCCTGGCAGGCATCAAGATGAGATTAAGGTGAGACTACTGGAAGAGCACAACTTCAGTGAAAATGTTAAATGTTATACTGTTGGGTGTGGTTACAGGTGAAACAGGCTTGAAACTTGCAACCAGAGATGGCAGTTAAAACTGTTTTTAGCTTGATGTTAAACGACTCATTAAATATTCTAAGCAATTTCTAAATCTATAGCTTTGTCATTTTTATTTCCAGGTCTACCCAGATAGCCTCCATGCCATCATCACCTGTGTTGGAGGAGTGTTCCCTGTTGACATACTGTGGCGTCCCAGCACTGGTGGGCCAGTTTCTGCTCGATCATTCAATGACATCTATAAACAGCTGGCTCAGGTGATGGATCAACCCCGAGCAGGAAAACAGAATGATCCCTCTGCCATTTGCAGCCTCTCAGCTCTGGAGCGCAAAACCTGGGCTGCCACCAGGGAAGAGATCATGGGGCAAGGAGGGGACACAGCGGCATCACTGGGGCTGATGGAGAGTGCTGTGCTGACGCTGTGTCTGGAGGAGTGCAATGCACCCTCTGAACTGGCTGATATTCTCAATGCAGTGAGATTGGGAGGAGGAGGAGACAGTCCATGTCTGAGATACTATGACAAGGTATTGGATAGAATCTGCATAAAGATTTTAAACAAAGCTGTGATCAGATTTCACACCTCTTTAATGCTCATACTGTTAAACATGGTTCACTTTTCAATTAAAGCTACTTTTTGTTCTATTTGTTCCATCAGGCAAAACACACACATTATTACACAATTCATACAAGGGTTCAATTACTATATTATATGACAAAATAATTCAGTTACAATAATTGCAAAATTTTTTTGATTAGTGCTAGCAATCAGATCTTGAATTACAATTTCTGCATTGGTTCATCAAAAGAGAATGAGGGTCAGCATCATCTGCCACTTAGGGCATCCAGTCTCAAAAGAGAACAGTAACAAACTAAGCTCATAAAATTTCCTATTAGACGTGGTCAAATGTCACAGTGCTCACTGATTTCCAATGGACAACATCTTTGTTTTTCTATTTTTTAACAGGTGGTGAACCTGGTGGTGTTCAAGGATAGCACAGCTGGGATGGTGTTTGAACACAGTGCTGTGGACGGAATGGTGGCTGGACTTGTGACTGAGCTTTTGTACAATCTGTCAGAAACTGCTGAGCTAAACCTAGTCCATACTGACGCAGAAAATGTGAATGGGTCTGTCAAAGTAAACAATGTTAATTCTGTTTGTCCAACTTCCCTAACATTCTCCTTGCAAGGCATCAATACCCCCAAACCCAGCCCTGACTTAAAAACAACACACCCAGTTCTCACTTTTGATGTGCCCTCCTATCCTGATGTTTTTTCTACTCTTAGAGGGCAGAGAGGCCTGTACGATGCTTGGATCAATTTCTCTTTGCAGCTTTCCCTAAAGCAGACTCTTGGGGAATCTGCTGCCAACCACATACTTGTTACACCTACCCATATGCGCCACTACAAACATGGCCGTTGTGATCCTACGTACTCACTCACCATGCTTTCTCGCAAGTTGGTAGGTACCTTGGCATCATGTATTGGCCCAGATAACACAATCCAGTACACAACTGACCTCCTACACTTGTTCCATGTTGCATTTCTGGAACATAAAAGCCTCATCAGAAACACCAAAAATGGTCACGGAGTCGGTCCCCACCTAGCTGCCCTCCGTCGCTCATTGCTATCTGACAACCCACTGAAGAAGTACCTGGACCCGTTTGGGTGTCCATCTGTATACCTCACAGGTACAGATCTGATGGAGGGTGTGGAGTGTGGAGTAGGGAATGTTTATGCCCAAGATCAGCTTGCTGTAACCTACCTTGGGAAGAGAGACAAGGTTCGCATTGTGCTTAATGGGAAAGGGAGCTTTGCTCTTGTTCTGGAGAAGCTTCAAGAAAGCCTGAAGAAAAACCTGAAGCTAGTGATGCTTCTAGCTGTTAGATATGCTATTGCATACCAAATGGGAGCCCTGGAGTGTATACTCCAACAGGGTCAAACAGAGAAAATGAATGGAGAGACATATCACTGTCCAGAGAGCCTAAACAATGGCAAAACCATTGTTGGCTCCACTTCTGGCATGAGCCCAGACTATAATCTGGTGATCCATGGTGGCGCAGGAGAGGTGATGATGCTGAACACCGAAGTGATCGGAGTTATTGAGTTTTCTCTACAGACAGCCTTAACCCTTGGAACTCAAGTGCTTCAACAAGGGGGCAGGAGTCTGGATGCAGTTCAGAGGTCAGTGGAAGCTCTGGAGGACTGCTTCCTATTCAATGCAGGTAAAGGCTCAGTATTCAACAAAGATGGCAAAAATGAAATGGAAGCAACCATCGCAGATGGCAATGCAAAAGGGTCAGGATCTGTTGCTTGTGTGCAGAGTGTGAAGAACCCAATAAAAGCAGCCAGGTGTGTCCTTGAGAAAAGCTCACATTCACTAATTGTGGGAGATGGGGCTGAGGAGTTTCTGCAGGGGTTGGAGGAGAAAGAGACGCCTGTTGGGCCTGAGTATTTCTACACTGATATACGTCACAAAGAGTTAACTGCAAAGCTTAGTGGTGGAAATACCTCAAAAAACAATCACCCTCAGACAGTTGGAGCTGTGGCCTTGGATCGTTGGCATGGGTTGGCTGCTGCATCCTCCACCGGTGGGTTAGTAGGAAAGCTGAAAGGGCGAGTTGGGGATACAGCAGTAGTAGGGGCAGGAATATATGCTGATGACCAGGTAGCTATTACCTGCTCTGGAGATGGAGATGTATTTCTGAGACACACAGTTGCACAGAAAATAGCTAGTCTCTACCATCACAAAGGCTATAGCCTTAGGCAGGCATGTAGAGAAGTGATGGCTGAAAATCTGAATGGGATCTGTGCAGGAATCATTGCAGTGGACGCTAAAGGTGATGCTATCATTGAAACAAATGCTAGTGTGATGTTTGTGGCCTCAATGGTAAATGGCATTTCACGAGTTGAAGTCCTGAGGCCCCTGAAGAGCTTCTCTGATGTGATCTGGGAAACAGATGAGCTGGTTGCCTACCTTGATCCCAAACCCTGGATCCCTGGGTCAACCATTCTGACTAGAAAAACTCTTAGTGGGGCAAGTAGCATCTTTCAGTTGGCTACACCTGATTTTGTGGCTATGCTACAAGGAGCAAGAGCTGCGTCAAGCTTGCTATGTGAGCGTCTGGGAGTGCAGCGCTGTGCCTTGGTTTTTAACCCAACCCCTGATCAGCCAGCAAAAATCAGACTGCTCCCGCTTCATGGCCTAGAGCCAAAGTGGCAGCCCCATCTTGCCAATGAAGAAGAATTCCACACTCATGATCCTGGCTACTGCACCTCAAAAAGTGGCCCACGCTGGGATGATGAGGCACTGACCCAGGTTCAAGCCAAGATTAGAAATGGACTGCCAACACCAAATGCACCCTCTTGCTTTGACTTTTTCGGAGATGCTTCAAATGATAACCTGTTCAGTCGCATTGTGCGTGGAGAGCAGCAACAATGGAGAGTATGGGAAGACAGTGAGCACGTTGCCTTCCTGACACCATACCCCAACACTCCTGGACTAACTGTTGTGGTGCCACGCAAACCACTGTCCAGTGACATCTTCAAACTAGAGGAAGCTGACTATAAAGCACTGATCTTAGCCACTCAAAAAGTGGCCAGACTACTAGAAAAGGGCATGAGAGCTCGAGGTGTTGCACTGATCTTTGAGGGCTTTGAGATTGACTATGCTCATGCCAAGTTGATCCCTGTGTTACCTTCACCAGTTGGTACTAATCACGCTGAGCTGCAACCAGAATGCTTCCAAAGCTATCCTGGATATGTGTCATCACTGGATGGCCCAGCTGCTGACCCTGAGGCCCTCAAAAGGATCCATACAAAAATTACCCAGTGCAGGCCTCCTCGTTCATGGGAAGACCCACAGTCTCACTCCACACTTGCCATCAAGAGCCAGTGGTATCGCAACCTGTTCCGGATTCAAAACACTCTTTTCCACAGTACAGTGGAATATTTCCACACTTCCTGCCAGTACTCCTACGCTCTGACCCCTCTCACCACAGACACCATCTCCTCACCGATGGGCTTAGGATCTGACTCAGAACCAGTTTCTGTTAATCTGCTGGGCCAAGACATCTACCTGGCTGATTCAATGCAATTTGTACTTGAATACTTCCTTCGCTTCCAAGAGAATCTGCCAGGGACGTACTACATCTCTCCCAGCTTTAGAGGGGAAGATCCTGATGCCACACACTTGAACCAGTTCTACCATGTGGAGTGTGAACTGTTGGGTGACATGGACAAAGCCATGTCCATAGCAGAGGGATACTTGGCACATCTTACCAAGTCCATGTTGAAGAAACACTCTGATCTGATCCTCAACACTGCAGGGACCCTTACACATGTCACAGCCATGCTGAGTAAGCTGGATGGGAAGACCCCACTACCAAGAGTCCCTCTAGACAAGGCCATTCCCATGATGCCCTCTGCTGACTGCTTAGAGTGGGTTCAAGATGGCCAGCCCAAGTTTGGCAGAAAGCTAACACGCAAGGGAGAGCGGGTCTTGATAGAGAAATATGGTGGTGCTGTCTGGCTGACTGAGATGGATCATCTAGGAGTTCCCTTCTACCAGGCATATGTGGAGGGCACTGGGCGGTGCAAAGCCAAAGCTGCTGACCTTCTTCTGGGCCTGGGTGAGACTGTGGGCCTTGGTGAACGTCATTCCACCCCAGAGATGGTACAGGAGGCCCTGAGGCACCATGCAGTGCCAGAGCAGTCCTACAAATGGTACATTAACATGCGGCAAGTGAAACCACTCCTTACCAGTGGATGGGGCATGGGTACGGAGCGCTACTTGTGTTGGCTGCTTCAGCACCATGACATCAGAGATATACATATCATTCCTAGGATGAAAGGAATGAAGTACATGCCCTGATCATAAGTTCTCCACAGGTTTTCAAACGATTAGAAGAGGAATTTTACAAAATGGAATTAAACCATAAAAATGCCTCAATAATCCAGACTTTGGGACTTTGATCCTCACCAATGATCTTTCTTTCTTTTTCCATGGCTACAAAAAAACTCCCACAGCCCTCAATTCTACCTGACCCTTGTGTCCTTAAAATTAAAATGTTTCTGTAAATTGAGTGTTTTAACATTGCAACACAAAGCAGAGGCATCATCGTAGAAAAGACACAATTAAATAATTTTAGAATAAGTTAAAAATTATGCTACAGCAAGTAAATCATTAATTGTTCTTTAAATGTTAACACTAAGACTTTGTTTTCTTTCTCATAAGTAAAGCTACAGTACAATTTCCCTGTAAACTGAGAATACATGAATAGTGTATGTAGAACTTGAACTGTTTCAGTATGCTTGATTCTTGGTGTAAGACTTATTAACAGTGTTGACAAAATAATTAGTTAAGGGTATAAATTGTATGAATAAGTTGTGCAGACTATGTTAGAGCAACATAAAGAACACATATGTTCTTGTTGTATCATCATTTATGCAAACAAATGTTTTAGTGTTCCTCAATATAATGTTTTTTTTCATGTTTTTTTCACGTTTTGTCATATTGTCTTTGTACGTAAAAGATTTTTGTGAAAGTCATACGGATCATGTATCATTGCTCTTTTCAATGAAGTAATGCCTTTTAAAATAGATATCAGGCACTATCTGGATGTTTTACTTACAGTGTCAATGGGAACTTTTCCCAGGAGTCTCTGAACAAGGTGGTATCAGCATTAGTGTGACCTGGGCCCCCTGCAGGGACAAATATCACAAAGCTATAATGTGTGTTTAAATATAGTGTTTTAATTTTAGTTAATGATTGCACAGTATGAGATTGGTAAAGCTATTAATCATGCTACCTTTCTACTAGATTTCAAAGACCACAAACTCATTTTACAGTGCATATCAATTATATAACACCCCTTGAAAATCGCAGTGATACTGCTGTGTGGTCAGAGTTGAAACAGGATTTAAATTTTCAAGGAAAGAGGGCAATAAAACATTGCTTTTTAGGCTGATGTTAATTCAGCTACAAGGAACTTTAATTTTGTGTTGATTCTCACGGCCCCCGTGGGTCTGTGATTAATCAATGTCAGTCTACTGGTTAGGGTTCAACACCTCATTAGTTTGTCTCTCTGCTAAGTAATGACCTGAAAGTTGCTGAACTGCAAAGTACTATTAACTCTCACATTACAGGGTGTCAGTTGGTTTAATATTTAGATCATACATTTTTCACATAATTATAATGTTCAGGGCCACATTTTTCCAGTGATTAAGAATAACACACACAGATTTGTTCACACAAATGGAAATCCATGAACAAACACACTAAAAAACACAGAAATAACAATACACAACTGGTTCAATGTTTTAATAAATGCAATGTATCTATGAAGGGTTAGAAATATTAATAAACATTTAATAAAACTATTGATATTTAACCAAAAATGATGACTGATCTACAGAAAATGGTTTAGCAGCATCTTTCACCTTTAACCTCATGAAGAATTTCAGCTCTGAAGACATCCACCTCCCCAAACACATCACCGCTTTCCAAGGTGACCTTGCAAGGGCCTCTATTATACTTTTTTTGAATAAACTTTTGCATAAAGTTGGGCTCGATCTGTTCTATCAAGTATATCAAGACAATGTGTATACACAGTACGTGCACAGATTTGAGGTTCTTTGGCTGATTTGCATGTGGCCATTTGACATGAAATGAATGCCAAAGGGGCTGACACCAAGTTGATTTCCTATGATGGCTATCCACTCAAATGCAGTATGCTGTCAGGAAGTATTTAATCAGGTGTATCCCACAATTCCAGGGTAAGTAACGTTTGATGGTGTGCACAATTATACCACACACCTTTTGCTCATCAAACCATTTGGCGGTGGTGGAGTTCAAGCAGAAACTACCTAATGTGACAGTAACACATATAAAAAATGGTTTTAAAAACATACAGATTATAATCTGTTGTGAAGATATTTTCCAGTAGGAGTAGGATGTGAATAATAACTAATAATTTCTTATCTTTGGCTAACTCTATTTGAAATATCAAACAAGAAATCACTTGCACATATTATTCTTACCATGCAAGATTGCATACAGATTACCTCTAACATCATAAAAGTAAATAAAAATAGATAGATAAAGACACACACACACACACACACACACACACACACACAACACAATGGACAATGATTATAAAAAAAAGTATAAAAATGTTATTATAAAATTAATGAGCGTTTTCAAATGTAATGTAACAGAATGATTATAACCCGGATGTAGTGTGTGCGTAGTAGACTATTAGTTTCCGGTTGTCACTGTCGTATCTGACCCCCGGCTGGAGCAGAGCCCTGTCTCTGTCTGAAGACAAATTCTTTGGTCTAATTTCTGAAACGTAAGTAGGCTTTTGTTTCTCTTCTGTGTGCACTAGTGTTTTGTGTTTCCACTATGTCCTCCGCACCGTTTTTTTACGAGCCTGTCTGGTTTTTAAAGCCGGTTAAAGGTAAGGTCAGCGCTTTCTTAGCTTAACAGCGTGGAAGGCTAACAAGCTAGTCAAGAGATGTTTGACTTTCCGTTGAGCCAGCCATTTTCTAAAGACAAATGAGCCTCGCTCTGCTACACTGCCAGTATTTTACTACTCGCTAGAGGCAATGTGTCACATAGCTGTCGATGGAAATCAGAAATAGCCTAAGTGGTCACATTTGCATAGTTGCTAACGGCAGCTAGCGGTACCGTTACAGTCCCTACGAGCTGACACTGCAGCTGAGAGCCAGTAGTGTCTCTGAGTGTGAATCATTGGTGTTACACAACAACCAAAATATAAACTGGGAAAGAAAAAGGATTCACAAAGCAAGCGTGTTTTTTTATTTTTATTTTTTGTTTAAATGTAACTTTTATATTCAAAGCGGTCGACAGAGCGATATATGGATGAGCTGGTGGATGACGTTAGCGTTTTGCATCCTGAAACTTCTGTTTATTATTCAGAGCAGAGTAATCAATCTAAGAGGGGAAGTCTGTTGCATGGTTTCTAAATGTAATTCATAAACAGTTTTACAGGAGCAAACTCTTGTTTTCTCTCTCCACTCACACTCTCCACTCCAGGGACCCATACCTCACCCATAGACTGTGTCTGTACTTTTACTCATTCTGCCTAGGAATGCACAATATGGATTTTCTTTCCCCCCCAGTCATTCAATAACTGATAATTAACCTGCTTCACGTGGCTGACACAGATAAAATAACTGATAAATTCACATTTTTGTGTTCATAACCTGTAGTATTTACACACCTGATGGTAAGAAAGATGCAGATGTGTTGAGCAAAGATGAATCATTTAATATCTGACTGAACCAAATTTAACTGGCATCACTATTGTTAACAACATTTCTGACTCTTCAAATCTCCTTTCTTGTAAAGTACATCAAAATACTAAACAAACATACATTGGCGTTCATTGAGCAGACAGCCTATCAATTATTTTACACAAGAATATAAATCATTATTATTATTATTATTATTTTTATTATTATGGACCCATTATCAGCTGGTAATTTATCTGCCCTGTCCCTCCCTAACTATTGCCCTCGTACCAGTTACATCCACTAATGACCATGCATCCAGCATGATGTCAAGATACATTTTTGGCCCATATGACCATTGTAATATTTTAAATATTGTTTCTTTGTCACCATATTGGCTCATTTCCCACCACATTTTCTCATCCCTTCATCCCTTTCCTTTTCCCAGGCGCCAGGGTGTCCCCCCTCTCCATGTGTTGTCCCTAATGGGCGGCTGGTCTCGCAGTGCCGTGCTGGAGCTGTACCGGGCGCTGCTCCGAGCAGGGCGTCAACTTCAGTACACTGACCGTAACTACTATCAGCGTGCCGTGGCTCGCGAGTTTCGCCGCTGCCAAGCGCTGACGATACCCGAGGATAAGGAGGACGCGCTGAAGAGGGGCCAGTTCTTCCTCAGCAGCCGATTGGGTGGGCTTATGTAGGGGGAAGGGTTCACAGGCCTTCTGGAGGTGGGTTAAAGGTCGTCTGGAGGTGTATCCCCCAGGTGGGTTTACAAATAAGAAAAGACTGAGTGCGTCAGCAGTAAAAACTTTTAGATCTGAGACTATCTTTGTGGGGTATGTGGACAGTTTAGTTTAGTAGGATAGGGCAAAGATCACACCTCACAAGTAAGGTTGGGTGTAATTGATTTACCCTCTGTAGGTACATTACTTAATTAGTGCTGAGAGAGGTGTCTCAGTTGTGTCTGTAATATTGTTATACTTGAGAATCTGGTGAGCTAAGCAACAGAGCAAAGAAAGTACCTTTTTCTGTCCCTATCCTCTTCCTGCCAGTATCCTTCTGTCTTACTGGCTTTCTTCATCTCCTCTGTTTTCTTTGGCAGGATGGCGGGGATGAATGGAGACCGTAAAGGGAAGAAAGATGACAATGGGATTGGTACAGCCATTGACTTCATGCTTTCCAATGCCAAGCTTGTGTTGGGAGTGGGAGGAGCAGCCATGCTTGGCATTGCAACACTAGCTGTCAAAAGAGTAAGTGAGATGGGAATTATCTCCCAGCTTCCACTCCTTTTGTACAATAAAGAAGAAAAAAAATAAATAAAAAAAGCTCTTAAGCATCGATACCAATGTGAACAATTCTTTGTTGTGTAGATGTATGACCGTGCCATAAGTGCTCCCACCAGCCCCACAAAGATGGAGCAGACAGGAAAGAGGAGCTGGGAGGAGCCCGCCTGGATGGGTTCATCACCACGGGTACTGAACCATGACATGAAGTCCACCGTTAGCAGGTCACTGCAGTCTCTGCCCACTTCCTCACATACTTATGAACCAGGTGAGAAAAACAAAGTGCCCTTTTGACAGTTTAGTTACACTTGTCATACATCATCGTACCAGATGTCTTTTTCATATCATATTACGCAATATTGTGCAGCTGAGTTTAAGCCAGCTGTCATTTTATCTGTTGACAGACAGCCTATTTGGAGGAATCTTGCTCTTCCTTTACAGTGGGTGTTTGCTGTCTGTAGTGCTGTAGTTAGTCAGCCAGCTGTTTTTACATTAGTTTATGTTAAACTATTATTTATTAGATTTTATTTTTTTATATAAGATTTAGTTGAACCATAATCTTATAAATTCTCAGATGCAGTAGAAGTCTATTAATTTAGTATTTAGTAGATTAAGGTTTTTTAATTTTCAGATCTTAATATTTAGAAAACACCCATACCTCTTCCATCTTTCCCAACTTTACTGCCTCCCCATCAAAACTATCTGAAATGGTGGAAGAAGTATGCATGTATGCAGCGGTATTTAACACAAATGCATATTTTCACTTTCAATTGCTTCTAATCTCCTCAGACTGTCTGCGCAGAGCTATGGGTCGAGCTGCTGTGGGAGGCAGTGGTGCCACTGAGTCAGACATGATGCGGGCCCGAATGCGTCTGTCCCTGCAGGAACATCTGTGGGAGTTCTACCAGTACAATGTGAACATCCCTGCCGAGGAGCAGGCTGTGGCTAGGAGGGCAGCGCTGGACATCTGTGCTGAGCTCAGAGTGTTCCTTCACGCCAAACTGCCTGACATGCCGCTCAGAGAGATGTACCTGAGTGGCAGTCTCTATGATGACCTGCAGGCAAGAACATTTGGTCTTACTTTTAGACAAGGGAGTTTTGATTTTACTTGATACATACATCAACATATTGATTAGATTTTTTGACTCTTAAGTTGCCAGCTAGGGCCAAATATTAGATTTTTCCTCTCTTGTTTTTCATCAGTTAATTTTATGTTTAGGTTATTTTATGAATACTCTCTGTATAAGTTTACAGCCTGCCTTGCTGTTATCCTATGTTGCCCTTTGTACAGTGATGCAAGGTGGAAGGGTATATCAAATGTAGATAACACAGTTGTTGAATTTGCCAGCTCTATTTCATCAGTTTTACCCCCTTCTTCCTCCTCCTAGGTGGTGACAGCTGACCACGCCCAGCTCATGGTGCCTCTAATCCTGGAGAAGAACCTGTGGTCGTCCGTCCCCGGGGAGGACACCATCATGAACGTCCCAGGTTTCTGGCTTGTCCGCAGGGAGAATTTGGAATATTTCCCGCGGAACAGCAGCTACTGGGACCGCTGCATGGTCGGAGGTTACCTCTCCCCTAAATCAGTCCTCGAGGTCTTTGACAAGCTTGTGGCTGGCTCCATCAACTGGCCAGCTATAGGGAGTGTCCTCGACTACATCATCCGTCCTGTGGTTCCTTCAGAGACACTGACCCTTGAGGTGCAGTACGAGACGGACCGGAAGCTGTATGTGGACTTCCTGCCATTACTTGTGATGGAGGATGGAACCTCACTGATCGCCAAACCTCATCGACTTGCCGCAGAGCGCCATGAAAACCTGTGGCGGCAGAGCTTCCGCGTGGCTGAGACGGCGCGACTCAGGGCCCTGGACCAGGAGGACGGAGGCTGCCGATGTGCTTGCCTGAAGTTGGCGAAGGCCGTGTGCAAGCTCAACCCTGCCCTTAACCGGCTCAATGCCAGCCAGCTCACCAACGCCATCTTGTTGCTGTGCGAAAAAGAAGGTGACTGGACCCAGGAAGCGCTGGCCGACCGCTTCCTTCAACTGCTACGAGCGCTAGTGGGACACCTAGAGGCCGGGAGGCTGCCATGTGCCCTTAGCCCTAAAGTTAACTTATTCTGTGAGCTGACTGATCAAGAAGTGGACGAGCTGGGGTATACTCTCTACTGCGCCCTCTCAGATCCTGAAGGGCTGCTGAGAACTGCTGTGGCAGAGCCCCTCCATCCCTGACGACCTCATATATCACTTCTCAGCAACACAGCGTTGAAGTGTCCACCACTGTTTTGTGGGCAACGGTGACCTCGAGCCTACAAAAGGTTCTTGGGGGGGAAAATAGAAGTGCATGGAATCATCCTCTCTCCTGAAACACATGGTCTACTCATTCTTAAACGCCACTTTACAAATCAGTGAGAACATGTGATACACACAGTAGCAGTTACTGAGCTCTGAGATCTGTTTGAGTCTTGACATGAAAGCTGCATATGTGTTGTGATCATGCAGATACTATTTTAATCTCAGATGTAAGTGAAGGTCCATTGGATTTCATGGCTCTCACTACAGCCATTGTATTAATGAAGTTAATATCAAAATGAAAGGGGAACACATGTAATCTAAGACACAGTATGTACCTCTGATTATATTGGAGCTCTTTTTAACTGATCTGGAAGTTTTAGGAGGACAGACACATCCCATGCAGTTAAATGTCGTTTACTGTTTTGAGATAGGCCCGTGCCACTGTGTTAAGGGATAGAATGTAATGTTGATTGTGTGTATGCCAACCCAAAAGCTAATAAATCGTTGATCAGCCTGAAGGACTCAACATTCTTGAGTGAAAGAGACAAGCTAGCTGTCATTTCATGCTCCTTTTTTTTTTTTTTTTTTTTTTGGTTATCACATGTGAAATCCTGCTTGTGTTCAGTTTAAAATCAAGGTTTTTATTAGAAAGCTTCATTAATACAGTGGCTGCGTTCAAGATGTGTGCTTTACATGTTTCTAGGGATCTGTGGAAACAAACATTAGGCTGTGATTGGAATGTCTGCGGCTTGCATGTGTTCTAGAAATCTAGAAATCTAGAAATCCAACAGGTGAATATACACTTGAGTTGTACGTTGATGTCTGTTTCTAATATTTCTAGTTCACACTACTCAACTATGAATCTGATATAAAGTTGAATATACTACCATTTATGGAAATGTGAGGTTCCTGATTTGTTGGTGATCATGAAATGTGAACAATACAGCACCACCATTTTATCATCCACTCATTTTGGCGTGACCGGATAATATGTCCGTATGACTGTCTAATACAGAGCTGATCTTTGTTTGTCATGAAAAGGAGGTTTCTTCTCCAGTCCAAGATTTGTTGCTTTTGTGCGCAGGCTTTATTAACTCATTTTCATCTCTTACGACCTCGCTGGTTGTTGCACTGTCAAAATGTTAAGTGTTCTGTTGTGGATTTGCAACAAAAGTGTCTGAGTTGGACATTCTGAAAGTGCTTCGGTGTTTACTGGTTTTTGCTTTAATTTAAACTCCAGTTTGGATCCTGTTTCCTCTAGATCATTACCTTCATTGGTGACTGTTTATAATTTGGGTTGCGTACACTTGCTTGATCTGGGGAAGGATCTCTGTAGCACGGGAGTCCCGTTTGGGCTGGACAGCTACTGTCTGTCTGCTGTTTGAGTCCATAACCAACAACACGCTGCTGTAAACAAGGAACTAAACCTACAGGGGAAGGTGTTTTGTGTTTGAGTTAGTCTCGGTATTAACTTCAGTACCTGGCCTGATTGCAGTTAAGAGGATTGAGCCTCTTACCTCTGCAGTTCGGTGCACTTTAAAGTTCACATTAAACCCTGATTAACTTAACGCTGCCAGTCTGTCTAGAGTAGGTAGCCAGACGTAGATTAGTGCTGTGTTATTGGTCAATTCTGGCCCTGTTCATGAAGCGTGTGATCTGTAGTCCTGATCACTACTAGCAGGCTGCTTCTGCCTGTCAGATCTACGTGTATATTTATAGATTACAGGTGCTAATCTCTTTTAGATCATGATCTGATTGAGAGGGATCAACTCAGCTCTATAAAAGCAGCTTCGATAGCCAATGTTTCTGACGTTAGATCAGCCTGCTACTCAGTGTCAGTGTAGGTGGAGCCACTAAAACAATAGCTGCCAGACTGTCAAGTGGAGTTTGCATCTCTAAATGACAACCCAAAACGTGTTGTCCAAAATAATCACATGGTTGCTTTTTTGTTCTCACTTTTAGCCTTAGAATAAATAATAAATGCAGTGATATGGAGCAAGTGTCCCCTCAACCCCAAACCCACTGTTTGTATAGTGTACAATATGTTTATAGTTCTGTTGTGTATTCAGTTATTAATGATCATCCAGATAATAATGGAGAAACAGGTGAATATTTTTATATTTATTGTACATTTGTAACCAAAAAGAGCCGGATATTTATTTGCATTGATTCAATTCAAAATGTATAGTACCACTTATTGTGCTTAATTAAGTGCTTTGTTCTGGATGTAATCTTAAAATGAATCCACAGTAGATAGTCTTTGCGTGCATATTAGGTGTCTTCCTTTGCAGACCTAGTTTATGCTATGAATGACTGAGGGGAGGGGAGGGAGTCACTGTGCCACATTTATATTATTGTAAAGAAAAAACTAAACCCAAAGTAGATCTCTACCTCTACATTGTGGAGAGCATATTGGCCATATGCTGTGTTGCATGCTGTGTAATTTTCCCCAGCTTTTTTTTTTCCTTTTTTTTTTTTTTTTAAGTTCAGCTCTGGAGTTGAACGGTGAAGCACTTTGTATAAGTCATTAAATGTTACAAATTACATTTTGTAGGTTCCTTGTGTTTTTTTTGTTATCTAACTTGATTTTACAATATGGTAACTTATACTATAAACCCATCCATCCAAAATTTGACAAGGCATTTAATTATTAAAGTTTTATTCAGTGACATTTGGTAATAAAATGCACATAGGCGTGTTAAAAGAAACATCCTGAGATACCTTCAGTGTACAAAAGCAGCTCCAACTAAATCATTAGACATTGGAAACTGGAAATATGGTTCAGTTGCTAAGAAAGAAAAGTACATCAATGTGAGGTGCATTTGTTCCCTCAGAGTACAAAAAATAAAGCTGAAATGTATTGAAATGCGTAGAACTATGCATTTTCACTCAATCCTGCCCCAAAGATAAAAAAAAAAAAAAAAAAAAAAGCAGCTTCAGACAATTGCAAGAAAAGCAGTCCCTTTGTTCTGTGGCAGAAAACATCCACTCTGTTAGATTTGTGGAAGTGGCTGTTAACGTAAGATCCAGATTTGCTTATTGGAAACCAGCTACTTGTGTAAGGCCTTGCATTGATGCACAAGAACCAATGAATGCTTTTGACTGCTGCAAATCAAACAGTGCAACACACTGATGATGAAATTTAGCTTTGCTTGGTGTCATCTTTAAAGACAAATGACCACGACAAATGAAAAAGTGCAACATGTTACATACAAAGTGTTCTGGGGACTACTTGGCAGGGGCGAACCCCACACGATCGGCGTTTCTGTCGAACACAGTGTAGTACTTCCCAATGAATACATCTCCCAGGATCCACAGGGGCCCTGCGGGTGGTGGGATATCCATGGCCATGAAACCGGACAGACAGATGGACGTACCCATCTGAGACTCCTGCGAAAACAATTTTTCAGTTTTGTCAGGATCATTTAAAGATTTAGTCACACTTTCATCTAAATGTGTTTTAAGACTACTCATGCCCATATGCACACTGAGTGAGTTATTGGTCCACTAATTGTTCCCCCTGTCCAAATTGGCTGTGAGGAGATCCCTACACATAATCCACAGTCCCCTCCATGTGTGAGGAATTCTCAACTAAATTGACTAACTCTGGAAGATACTCAGTTGATTTGTCTTAGGATCTAAAGAATTAATTTGCAAAGGAAAACCACACAATGTTGTTCCCCATCTCCAACACTAATAGTGTTAAGGTGGACTGCTCTTCAGTATGGAGATTAGGAACAATTACAGCAACCGATAGGATATAATAAGACATGCTTGGAAAATTATTCTTTGAAGCTAGGGTAGTTAAACGTTGCAGAAACTAGCTAGAGATTTCTAGTTTATCTAACCAAAAGAAAAATCCCACCACCACTTCCTTCATGCCTCCCTCCAAAAGCCACTCTTCCAACACATGAACATGCAGTGCCCGACTACAGGACCAATGAATGAGAGAGTGTTGGGGAGAGGAGCGCAATGCATCGTTGTCAACACTAGTTGTATCCAACTATATAGTTCTAAATACTCCTGAACCCCAAAACAAAGCAAACCACCTGTCCCTCAGTTCTCGCCATCATTGAAAACCTACACCGACGTTGACTCTGGTTTGACCCTTTGCTTTATTTAACCTGTTTGTACGCAGCCTTTTCCACTTCTGGGTTTCTTTTCTTGCTTAAACTGATATAACAAAAAAATACTTCTGATAAACCTTACTGAGACAAACGTACAATATAATGGAGGCCAATACACCAAAACTAAGTCATTTGAATAAGATATGTACCCTATAAAAAGAGAAATCAACAAGGCTGGCAATATTCTGTAGATGTTAAAAAAAATGCTAAATACTTTGAGAATTCCAAATCCTGACTTCCCTACTGAAGACATTTGTTGGGGACTACTTTTAGCTTTAACTTTTAACTACAGTGCCAAGATTTTGGACTACAATGAAGCTTTATGGCACAGAGGAATAAGCTGTAACAGGGGAGACATCATGGGATTTGTGGACAATAAGAATATATCACTAGACTCACTGAGCTTCAAAAAGGTAGGATTTATTGCAAGGCTACTGTATTGGATAGCATTATATTCTGGATATATCAGCTCATCAAATAATTCTATTATCTTCCAAGGACTCTCCCATATACATGTTTATTATCCTTGAAGCAAAGGACTGCTTCTGATTGGTTTAAATAACTGTCAGTGATCTGACATTAGTGTATGTACCTTCATGACATAATCCTCTCCAGTCAGGTTAAACATCTTCCCTCCAACGTTGAAGGAGATGACAGGCAGAGATGGGATCTTCTTACAGTCGATCAAGTACTAGCAAGGAGGCAGAGGGGAGAAGAAAATGCGGAAATGATTCCTCAAGACTAAAAAAAAACAAAGTGAGCCTTGTTGTTCCATGAGTCATCAACCTACAGCATTGTCAAAAATGTGGCTTTTGCAACCCTCGACCACAAAAGGTCAGTTTCTCCAGTAGAAAGGTTTAAAGGTTACATCTGGTCACTCGGTATAATGTCTTTTTAACAGGCATCAAATGTCACATGTTCAGTTGTACCTCTCCCATCAGCAGGGGCAGAGCTCCGATGGCTTTGTGCAGCGCTCTGATTTCCTCTGCAGGGCCGACAATTAGCGATGTTCCCGTGTCAACAATAGCCTGGCAACCGGCTTTGCAAAGAGTCAGCTGGTTGCCAACTTCAACTCTGTGGGGCAGGATAGAGAGGGAGCAGCAGGGTGGGGCAGAGACAAGAGGCATCCGTTTATTTCCAACAGTTTCTTAGAAATGTGTCGTCATGTCATTGTAACGCAGCTTTTAAAACAAAGAACATGCATACACAACTATATTATGATTTTACACTATCCAAAGACCCGATATTAAATTTAAGTTTAAGCATGCACCTGCTTCATGAGAATACCATTTTCAATTACCAGGTAAAGGAGTACCAGAAGTGAGAACTGTGTCCATTAAAAACACAGAACAGAAAGTGTACACACACACAGTTTGCAGTGTTAATGAAGCCACAAAAGTTTCTTCCTCACCCGTTGACCTCGATCTGCCAGTAGGCCTTTCGTGTGACATTGACATAGTGCAAGTCTCCGGTGTAGTACTGGGGGTCTGTCCCACCCAGTATCAGCTCTCCTCCCACTGCTGCTTTGGGGTCTCTAAGAGACAGGGTGGACAGAAGCAGAACTCACTGCGTTAACTAAAAGCAAAATGTGTCAACTCCAATTAACAGCTGGCAGTGGTTTCGGTCTAGCAGAGGTAAAAAGAAAAAAAAACAAAAACAAGTTTAAGACCAATTTAAACCAATACAGAAGGCAGCCATTATAGAGCTGGCTGATTAGAATAATATTTATATTATTTATGCCCGTTCTTCCTCACTTCTTCTGTCAGAAACCAACCTGCTTATGTAGAAAGAGAAAATGTTCTGGGGCAGCAGTTTGGCTGCCATGGCTGTGTCAAACACCGGGACGACTTTAGCTACCGAGATAGAGGGGTAGGCCATGCCCAGGACCCCATCGAACCGTGCCACTGCAAATGTGATTCCGGGCTGCGTCACTGCTTCAGCAAACTGCTGGCCAGGAACGGACAGACCTGCAACCTGCAAGCAGAGGCACAGGAAGCAGGGAGAGAGAGAAAGAAAGAGAGAGACGTCGATACGGACAGAAAACACAAGACTTTTAATCAAATGATAGGAACGGCATGACCGCCAAAATTGAGGAATGCTGTTCAACAAAAGGACTATGTGAGTGGGTGACTCACAGAGACCGTGTCCCCACTGATGAAGCCGGTCAAGCTGCCTCTGCCATACCGGATGGAGAACTTGGTGCCGTTCTGAACGTATGTGCTCGACTTCTTCGAGTTGTAACGATGATGAAGCCCTGGTGAAAGACGACAACAATGTATGGATTTCATGGACTTCAGAAACAAGATGTTAGTGATAATACACCAGTAACAGTTTAAAATAGAGTCAGAGGACTGGCACACCACAAAGATATGCAAAACAATTAATAAAAGACATTGTTTTGTGTTTCTCAGTCTGGGGGTCTTGCTCCCATGTAGGAGGGGTTCAGGAACTAATTGTTTCACTTTTGAGTTACAAATAGCAGATATGAGTTGATATTATTTTGTAATACAATATTTAACAGTTGTTTGACTGAATAAACAAAGATTATTAATGTACAGTTTATGATGTCCAAAAGCCAGGGCTTTACATTTGAGTCTAAACACATTTGGTTATTGGGATTGTTTGAATCTGTGCCCCACCCTGTCTCCGCATTTCAAACATTTCTAAACCTGCCACCTCACAGAGCTTATTGGAAGTTTAAGAATTATACGGACAGCAAATCATTTTAAATCTTCTGACAGCTCGTCTTTAACAGTCTTAAAATACAGTTCACCCTCTAAATGCAATTGGGGTCAAAGTTTGGTTTTCTGTCCCTATAAACACTCCTTTGTGTAACTTTTGATCTTCTGTCTGACTGACTTTACTTAAATCAAACAGTCATCAAGTCAAACCAGTCCTAACACACAGCCAAATGTTTGCATGCATACTTTAGGTAAAAAGCAAACTTAAAAAAAGGAACAACGAGGAGGAGAAGTGTGATATTTTGGTCACAACTGTTACAGCGAGCACCTTCCAGGAAGTAGCCAATAGATACACATATAGCACAGAGGATGTTGAGTGAATACACTTTCCCAGAAAAGCAAACTCACAGCAGGCCAGATCGAAGAAAGAGCAGTGAATGGAGGGGACCCAGAGGTTGGAGGAGCCGGTGTCAAACAGCACAGTGAAGTCCTGCGGAGGGGTGCCGATGCTGATCACCCCATAGTACTGGGCCTGGGGAGACAGGAAGCTAACAGTAAACACCGAGATCTGCTGTGAAACTACATGTGCATCAGAAGAAAGATTAAACATTAATAGTCAGCATTTGAGTCAGAGCTGAAGCAGGAATGCACAAGTGGAACTAATAACATAAAAACAATAACATTTGATAGAGTGAATGCAGAGTACACTGCTCAACTCGTGATATCTTGGGTTCCTCAGTCTAATATTTACTCAATCATTCCCCTTCTCCCCCCCCCCCCACAAATATTGAACATTTTGTCCCACAGTGCATTGTGTACTCCCAGATAAAGCTGAACAACTTGGAGAATGGAGGTGGAGTTATTAGAAGCTGCCTCGCTCCAATAAGACCGCAGCAAAATGAGTCCACTCACTGTGTGGCCCTCACACTATGGATCTGAGACCAGTACAAGTATACAGTATGTGCACATACATCCATGAAGTTGGTCAGCCTCTCCACAGGCAGGTCGGGGGCGGGGGAGCTGTCCGGAGCTCCTGTGTCTCTGGCCCGAGCCCGAAGCTCCTCCAGAGACATCCCATTGTCGCTCATCAGGCGGCGCAGGCTTCTGGTTTTATGAAGGGGAACTCTGAAATGAGGGATTGTTGAGTTGAATGTCACAGGTACCACCGCGCGCGGGCGTCGTGCGCGCGAAACGGCACGCATCCTAGTACAGCTCGCATCCACTTACTGCACGCACAGCAACTTTAACCACAATGGTGTCAGTGAGACAGTTTTACATGGTTGATGTAGTTTTACATGGTTGAAAACTCACAGCAAATGCAAACACGTGTGAATAATTACGACTGTGCCAGAGAAGGAAGTTAAAACACACACACACACACACACACACACACACACACACACACACACACACACACACACACACCTGCACTCAATGAAGCCTAATGTAACTCGTCTGCTGCTATGAAGTGATGTAGTTGTAATGTTATCGCTAGTCCCTCCTACACAGTATTTACCTGATGATGGCGGCGCATTGTGTTACCAACAGCGCCCCGACGATATAAAACACCTCCGGCCGTGTCATTTCTGTCCTCGTTGAAATAAAACACACTTTTCTGTATTGTTTCCGCTACTCACAAGCGCTCACACACACACCACTATCCCAACTGACGCAGACGACTAAACTGAAGCGCTTCGGCGATGTCCGCCTTCACTCGGTTTTCTCCGCTATGTGGCTCAGCGATTGGAGGGAGATAATCAGTGCGGTGCTCTGATTGGCCGGGAGAGGACGTCCATCATCCTGCCTTATAAACCGGCGCATTTGGCGTGTTAGTGGTCACGAGTTGTGATGAGGCTGTGGAAGGAGTGATAGGGCATAATACCATATAATAGAAAAACATTCTTCAACATCAGCTTGTTAAATACCTTTCCCCAGAGAGTCTGTAAACCTAACAATGCTGACCAAAGCTTACTGATAAATAAGTTCAGTTACCATGGAAACACCTCTGCTTGTCTAATCAAATCTTGCACTTTAAGCTTCCATTTGAGGGAATTAAGTTACTACAGGAGTCTGAGAATATGTTCAGCTTGGGCTCGGAGACTACACATTTATAGCATTGCATTGCAAACTGGGGATTTCAAATGAGAAAGACATTTACCAACCAGAGAAGATCTAATAAGCTGAGCTTGAGCGCATACCAGGGAACTAAAACTAAGGACATGTCTGCCTTTTTCTCTTCAGTTCTCAGCTAGTAAATCTGTCTCTTGCAAGTCCGCCAATAGGAGAGTTATCCCTGCTGAGAAATTATGACACAGCCTTTTATTTTTCAGACATAAGAAAGTTCCTCCAGGGGGCGTCCTGCTGCCTTTTGCTTTAAGATGAAGCAACTGTCCTTTTTTTGTTTTACCTTTATTTTGATTTTGAGTGCATTGGTGAGAGGAGTTCAACCTGCCAAAGACGATGATGGTGCACTTCTACACCGCCATCATCGAGTCCATCCTCACCTCTTCCATCACCATCTGGTACGCTGCTGCCACTGCCAAGGACAAGGGCAGACTGCAGAGTATAATTCGTTCTGCTGAGAAGGTGATCATCTGCAATCTGCCATCCCTCCAGGACCTGTATGCCTCTAGGACTGAAGCGTGCAGGCAAGATTGTGGCTGACCCCTCCCACCCTGGTCACAGACTCTTTGACCCTCTCCCCTCTAACAGGAGGCTATGGTCCATCAGGACCAAAACCTCTCGCCACAAAAACAGTTTCTTCCCATCTGCAGCTGGCCTCAGGGTTGCATTAACAAGGCCTGGTACCCCCTTTGTCACTGACTCTTATACCCACCCTGTATATACAGTATGCATTATATTAATGCACCCCCGTCTTCTGCACAGTTTTCTTTTCTTATCTTTCTCTATTTATATTTTGAAAGTACTTTATTTTTCGGTGTGATTTTTCTGTGATTTGTATATTTGTAGATTTGTATATTTTATGCACCAATTGCACCAGGACACATTCCTCGTAGGTGGAAAAACCTACTTGGCCATAAACATAATTCTGATTCTGATAAAAGAAAGGTTTGAAATCCAAACCAAAGTAAGATGAGTCATCTAACAAGCTGCTATTTCTGTCATTGATCCATAACAAAGCGTGAAAGCAGTCATGGATAAGACACTCACTTGGCCTGTTGAACGAGTTTCAGGTAAAATCCCCAGCAGACGACACAAACACTGACATAAAGACTGACGTACACACAAAAACATTCACACACCCTCATCATCAATCAGACTCCGACCTGTTGACAATAAGCAACACTGGTCCCCACAAGGTAAACTAAGAAACCTCAGGGTTAAGACTTGGGTTTTGTTTAAGGTTAGGGTTAGTTTTGAGTTAAGGCTGGGTTTTGACATGCGGTGGTTCTGGTTAAGGCAAGGTTTAGTCTCCAGGCAATCAATGTCAGCGAAGTGTCCTCTGGCTGACAAACCTGTGTGCCAGTTGACGTCTGAGTGACAGTGCTGATGTTCGGCCTTCATTCCACTCATTGCTTGTGTATATGTTGAAATTTTGCAAAAAGGGGATCCACCCACAATTTCTTTTCTCTGTTGTGACGCGGCAGGGAAATCACACCATTAGGTCTATTTAGACTGGACGACAGGCATTCATGGCATCCGTGGCTTGACAAAAGGTGCATGCGTGTACATGCATGGCAGACAAGCTGAGCCATCCCTTATACTGGATTTATAATTAAAAGCTCAAGTGGAATGGTGAGAACGACTTTGAAACTGGACCATGATGGTAAGAATCAGCTCTTTCTTAAGTTTATAAAGAGTTAAATATGTTTTAGAAAAGAGCTGGGTCTAAATGATACACACATGTACCACCAATTCACCTAATAGATGACTTTAACAAAGAGACCTTTTTCACAGCAGCAATTTGACATGAAATAGTAGGGTAAACGCAGGTGTCATCAATGATGCTAATAAAGGTTCCATTTAGTGTAGCAGAGCCTATCTAGTGAGCACAACATGTAAAATAGCATAATTATTCACTTATAATAATCACACAGAGAATTACATGAGAAGATTGACACCAAAATTGTGTGGCGAATATAAAGCTACACCCGGCAGCTGATTAGCTTAGCTTAGCATAAAGACTGGGAATGGGGAAACAGTTAGTCTGGCTCTGTTGAAAGGTAACAGATCCATGATTAAAGGCTCAAATGGAATAGTGAGAGCGACTTCTAAACTGGACCATGATGTTAAGAATCAGCTCTTTCTTATGTTTATATGTAGCGGCTGTGAAAAAGGTCTGTTGGATATTATATCTGAAGCTCTGTACATTATTAAGTAACAATTAGCTGGTAAGATTCTGGCCCAAGCAGTGATTAGTGATCTTAAACAGCAGCAACCTTGTACCATCAGAGCACCTATGAGTCAATTTGGGAGTCCAAACCAGACAAACAGTTTAACAAAACAAACCAGTGACATGAACAAGTGAATACAACAATGCATTAAGGTGTACTTAAAATGCTTAAAAAATGTGTCACTATAGTGCAACAGAACCAACCCTATCAGAAAAGCACTTATAACGCACATTATTACTACTAATTACACTGCAGGTGGATCTACCAGTGCTGCATGCGTCAGGTTGACTAAACCTGTTCTTGTAAACAATGCTGGTCTCAGCTCAGGTTTGTCGCTCAATTGTCTCATTGCGATCATATTTTTTTCTTTGGTTGAAAACAGCACTTTCTGACTTGTTATTAGCACAGGTGTCACTAAAACGTTAAGCCAGCAGTAGAGGAAGGGTATTCAGATTCTTTACTTCTACTACTATGTAAAAGTACTAATACCACTGTGAACTATTTTGTATAGGACTGCAGCTAATCATTATTGTCATTACGGATTGATCTGCTGATTATTTTCTTCATGAATCAATTTATTTTTTGGTTTTTATAACCTGTAAAACCTTCACACTTACACACACTTAAAGTGTCACCATCACACCTGTGTGTCTTGTTTTGTCCAAACCTCAAAGTTATTAAAAACCCATAATACATGAATTAAAATAATTCAAAGGCAAAGCAGTACATCCTCACATTTGTGAAGCTGGAACCACAAAATGTTTTTCATTACATTACAAATAGTTTCCAATTCATTTTCTGCCAATCAAGTAATTGATTTATTGAATAACTGTTTCAGCTCTACTTGTATAATAATATGGTATAATGATAATAATAGAAATTAAAGCGGCCAAACAAATGTGGTGGAGTAAAAAGTATAATATTTCCCTCTGAATTGTGGTGGAGTAGAAGTAGAAAGTGGCATTAAAATAAAAGTAAATTACAAGTACATATCATTTGTACTGAAGTGCTGTACTTGAGTAAATGTACTTAATTATTGTATTTTTTACACCTGTGTTTTCTTCCTGTGACTTGTCTGGCCTCTGTTAAAAATGCCTGATTGGCTTGTTTTTTTATGACAAACAGCATCAAACTTGTCCATCATTCACAAATCTTTAACACTGGTCTCCTGCTAAAAGTATCAAAGACTGGATTACTAACTGGACAAAGTGGGCCCTGAAAGCCCCGGCCGTGCTCAATTAATAACAAACAAAAAAGACTGACATGATGAGGTCCTTTAGGTAAACTCTGCTGTACTTAATCTTTAGACCCTGTCTTAAAGAGGGCTCCCATGTCAATATCCAGTTTTTTGATTTTTTAGTTTTATGCTCAAATGTTGCATATTCCAAAATGAAGTAAACATGGGGTCAGGCAGGGGAATACCATGTGACAGGGGGTTAATAGGCTCTGCATTTTTGCTCTGAGGAACCAGTACAGAAGAATTAGTCCATCAGTGATGGTTACAACTGCTGATTAGCACAGCCAGATTCCAAAACCCATACTTTAAATTAAAGATATGTGTGGTAATTGTTTAGTCAGATGTGTTTGAGTTACATAAGATACATAAGATTCTTGTGAATTATGACACCACCTTGCTCCACCCCTGCATTCATGTTTGGAGATAAGAGGGTTACAGGAACTGAACTGACAATTTTGGAAAAAACCTGAAGCTTTCCTGGTAGATAACAGACAGGAACATTACTGGTAACATGTATTTATGCAACATATACAAGGATAAGGAAAACATAGAGACACAAGGCACTTGGTTGTTTGGCAGTGTTTGTTGGTAATAGTTCTAATATCAGAGAGTTACTTTCTGTCATTATTAAACCCCATAGCCACCCAAACCCCCCAGGAAGAGCGACATGATAAAGTCCGCCACCACCAGCTCCTGTGATGTCTCGGAGTCTGTCTATGAGGACCCGGATGCATCAACGGTAAAAATATTTTTTTTGTCTGCTGGTAATTGCAGTTATCATCTTGTTCCATCTTTAGAGGAACTGGAGACATTTAGAGTGAAATAGAAATCTTAGGACTTACAAATTATTAATTATGGGGTTTTGTCTTTGTTTTTTTTTTTTAATTGCAGTCCTTGTTCCATCTTAGAACTCAAAAAAAAATTTTATTTTTTTTTTTTGGGTTTTTTTTTTTTTTTTTTTATTCTCTTTCCTTGTCAGCCTGCTGACACAAGTGGAAGCCAGTCAGAGGTTAAAGTCAAGCCCGTACCATCTCCTAGGTCTATATGGAAACCAAAGTGTCCAAACACCAACAACAAAACTGTTGAGTCTGTAGAGACGACCAGCCACACAAACAGTGCAGTGGTAAGTTGAGCTGTTTTGACTTCTTGACTTTAACTCACAATTGCATAATTGCATATATTAATTAGTATAGGCCTACATGTAAATGTTTTCCTGTTCCTCTGTTGTCAGAAATCCCAACTAAGTCCATACCCTGCAGACTATAAGAGGCCTCAACCTGTTCGTCCTCCTCCCAGACCACCAACGAGCAAACACCTGACCTCCAGTAAACCCACGGCAGCAGTCGAGGGAGGAACTCGCTATCTGAATTTGAACACTGAGCCAGCTGTGAAGGTATATAATATATGTATAAAATATTACTTCATGTGTGTTATTACCAAGAAACCAAAGGAATCATTTGACAATTTGGGTAAAAATGCTTATTAGCTTTCAGAAAACTGCAAATTGTCATTTTTACACTTACCAGATGTAAAATGTTAATTAGTGAGATTCAGAGGTGCTGGGGGGAAAATATGTTTCTCTCAAAACAAGGGGTTTTGATTGTTGTGACACCTAGAAAGAATATAACTTTCTCTCTGCTAGCCTCCAGCTGTCAGTACTGACAAAATACAACCTCATCCTTCATCACGGCCTGAACGCCCTCCTCTTCCCTCCAGCTATTATGACAGATCACTGTCTACAATGAAGCCAAAATCTGAGGTACTTTCTCACCTCATCCCAATATTTCAGGAAAATGAACACATTGAGAGGAGTTACACTCACTTTGTCCTGTTTAAATATGTAATATATTGACCCATGTCTATCTTGTTAATATTTTCCTGGACAGATCTACACTGATCAGAGTCCGCAATCCAGACGTTTGTCCATTAGCTCTCTGCGAGAATCTGTAGTGTCACCAGTTCTCTGTGAAGAAGTGGTGCACAACTGTGGGACTTATGATTCAAAGGTAAATTACATGCATTATACTAGCATACTGTGTTTTCTGTAAGTTGGGGTAATAAAGATATGGTTTTAGTAGAGTTTTGGTCCAAACATGGGTTTGGTATTATTATCAACAGTCAGCAAGCAACCTGCTTCTGGAGAAATAAATGTTGGAACGCATTTAATGTTTTAGTTGTATTAAACTCCATTATGCAACCACAATGTGAATGTCTTTGATATTCAGGCCACAGACAGTACAGACAAACCTGCAGTTCCTCCTCGACACTGGCGGTCGTCTCTCCCCTGCTCTGCCTCAGAGTATGAAACCTTGCCTTCACAGGTATGAGAGCTACTGCACAGTAGACAACAAAGCTATAGGTAATAAACTGTCCTTGGACAGGTGCCAAAACAGCAACAAAAGATGCGGAAACACACGTGTTTGTTGAAACAACCTAAGACCCTGTTTTACTGTCAGCATGAATAGCAGATTTTTCCCTTAACAGAAAGTGACTTCCAGCCTATTCCTGCCCTAAATTTTATGGAAGAAACAAGACCAGACACATTCAAGTGTGATCAATATTTAGTGGAAAGAATCTCACGGAGCATACATGTGAGAAATAAGGTCCATTTGACCCACCATACATCTGCCCAAAGCCAGTTGTCATCACCACCACCATTTCACTATTTGTGTATAAAAACTCAAATGTTTCTGACAACGAGTTTCCTAGATCTTTAAGTAAGTCAAGAACTAATTTGATCCTTGAACTCGATAAAGAGTTTCACTACCATACTATAAAAGTAAGAAAAGGCACCAGTATCTCTTATACCAGTATGTTTAAAGATTCAAAGCACTTTGTCTAGCACATCTTTATTTTATATTTTACTTCATGTCTGGGTGCTTAGCTTCAAATTTTAGTTAGTTTGGGAGGTTACTCTCATTGACAAAGCACCATTCACATGAGTGGAATCTTGTTGACTTAACCCTCTTTGACCCTCTTTTGGAATTTATTACACATTGAAAGTTGTGGTTATGATTAGCTGTCAACTATTCTTCTTCTTCTTTACTTGTTGTGCAGGGTGTGGGGACTGGACTTCCTGATCAGCTTAAATCTGGGGGATCAGTACCACCACACATGGGGTTTTTAACCCTAACCCATTTATTTTAGACTAATTTCTCACTCACTCAGATTAAGAGTCTTGGCTAGATACTTAGGCACAGTGGTGGTTTAAGATAAATGCTATCATGCTGATATTTAGCAAGTATAATGTTTACCATATTCACCATCTTAGTTAAGCTTCTTAGCATGGTAATATTAGCTAATTAGCAATAAACATAGTATAGATAGTATGCTCTGGAGAAATGTTTGTGCAGTTAACAATTAATTTCCTCTGTCTATTACAGACCAAACCACCACTACCTCCATTCAAACCACCACCCCCGCCTGCAACATGGACACAATCAGAGTCGGTGTACAGTGAAATAGACTATCGTCCCTACTTGCCCATTCTACCAGAGGATGGAGATAGTATGGTGAGACTGTGTGTTTGTCTGTACTCACTAATACTGAGCAGATTATATCTATCTAGATTTAAACAATGGTCTACATCAATTTATTTCTCATACATTAATCTGTTTCTGGTAAAACACTACCAGTCACTAGGGAGGTCAACACTTATGTCCGGACAGAGTGGCTGCTTCTCTTCTCATCAACAGACCACATCGGAGGTAAGGCTTAATTCACATACTCCCCTCCTGGATAAATAAAATGATTTAATTTTATTTTATTTATAGTTTAAAGAGGTTTTGTGAATAAAATCTATTGTCTCTCTGCAATGGTTATTGACAAGAAAATGACTTGAAATGTTTTCCTCAGGACATCTATGGGATGCTGAGATGGTTGAAAAGAGTGTCAAGTAAGCACAATGTTTGTTTTCTATATCGTATCAATTTCATTGTCATTCTTTTATTTTTATTCTTATACTGTTTTAAAGAAGTACAATAAATAAAATCAGTAACAAAGATGCACAAAAATGTCAGTGTCTTCAGTAACAAAGAGCATGATCAGTATTTAATCTGTATCTGTGTTGTCATACCAACAGAATCTGATTTCATGGCTCCGTCACTGTATTGCCTCAGTATAGAAGAAGAAATCAGGTATACACAGGGAAACAACTACCGTTTTTCTCCCCCTTTTCCTCCCCCCCTACAAGTAATTTCCCCACGGGGATTATTAAACTATTTCTGATTCTGATTCTGATTATGAATTCGTTCTTGGTGATGTCATTCTGGTGCCAGTAGTTTTGTGTTACAATATTTCTATAAAAAATAAATACAGGAAACAGTGCTGGCCTTTTGTAAAACAAATTAAATGTGACAGTGGAAGTTAAACTATTTCAGAACTGATATCAAACTGAACTACATGTGCTGATTTTTGTTACGTCTTTTCTGTCGCTGTCTCTGTGCAGATCATTTAATGACAGAGCGATGACTGTGAGAAAGGCCCTGCGTCTCTACAACCTCCTCATGATGAAACGCAATAAAAGACTGCGGGACATCATCGTAGAGTTCACCTCCATCTACCAAAGCCTGGACAAGATGGAAAAGGACAACAAAACTATGGGCATTGCTGGAGGGACCACAGGTGCTGTGGGAGGGGTGACTGCAATTCTGGGCATCGCCTTGGCTCCTGTGACCATGGGAACGTCACTGATTGCTACTGCTGTTGGTGCTGGTATGGTGGCGTCTGCTGGGGGCGTTGGCGCCCACGCTGCTAAGGCCAACAAGAAAAAGCTTGTGAATAAGATGTCAGTTGAGAAACTAGTGTACGAATATAAGGATAATATTGTTGACCTGGAACAATGTCTGGAATTTATCCTCTCTGGGATGATGGAGCTCCGAAGGCACGACATTGCCAGGTTACAGAGGGCAGGAGCTCATCCTGATGCACTGATGACGGCACATCTGTCCAAGACTGTGATTAACAATGAAAGGAAGGGTTCGGTTTCACACACAGGTGGAATGTCATCGGAGAGACTGCTTCAGGCTTTTGTTAAGGAAATTGATCAGTATTTCAAAGAAAAGGAGGGTCAGAAGCTGAGGAAGTCGAATAAGAGCAGGTTTTCAGCCAGAGTTCGCCTGCTGGCTGAAAACCTGCAGGATGACCTTGATCACCTGAATAATATGTGGGAAAAGTTTACTTGAAGTAAAGAACTTGTCGTTGGTTTATGTGCGAGAGTGTGTGTGAGATATGTTTTGAAAGGTTTTTGTTGGTGCAACTGGAGAATAAATGCCTTAGTATCCACTTTTAATAAGCATTTTATATTTCTAAAACCTGATTTGTGTAATTGACTAAAGCCAGTATTCAGGTAGTTCAAGATTGTAGTTCTGCTACCAATTATGATTGTGATGAATAAAATGTTCTGTATTAATGTACAACCGTGCTTTAATTTAGCCTAGTAACAGTGACTACTTTTTAGGATGAACAGACTAGACAAGGAATGTGGCACATAAACAGTAGCGGAGTGATAATGTCAGCACTGCGGAAGGACACCTCCGGAACTCCCTGTTGCACTATATCAGCACGCCGTGCCACCGCGTGCGCCATTTTCCTTCCTGAAGAACAACAAACGAAGCGACCGCATTGTTGAACATCGCTCTATTCGCCGAAATGGCAGTGTAAAAGTGTGCCGCGATCCAGCCGCCAACAAAACAGTGCATCCAGCCAGTGCACTGAGTCACTTCTAATTCAGCAAAAATGTCGTAAGTATTATTTTTTACAATATTTGGTCGATGACAGCTGTCCGGCCTACAGTGGGCACGCGCCTCAGCAGCCTGACTTGACCGAAGGAATCTAGATCCTTAAATTTGATTTTACTTTTCTAATTAATTTGACATGATGTGAATCGCCGAATTATAATAAGATACGGTGATTTATTGGTGGATTAAAAAATAGAATATTCTTGACACATGTCACAGAAATGTGACATGTGTCTCGATGTTACCTATACTTTATATCAATATAATTAAAGACGGTGTAACTACATCATCCGTTAAACCTTCAGTATTATTATCCGGACTGTCTACGTGGCAGTCAGAAAATGGTTCGTTTCCTCTTTGTGTCAAAATGGCGGCTTCCTGTAGGCGGATTGAGAACAAAAGTGTGGCTGTTTATAGTGCGGGAGGGCGGCGGAGTCCGTGCGTGACCCTGTCTGCAGACAGACTGACGTCAGAGTCACAAGACTGGTAGCTGGGTGGAAACACGTGATGTGCAGCAGGTGCACTGCAGTGATGGGGGCAGTGTTGCGCTCAGTGTTATTTAGCAGAACAACACTGTTATTATTTACCCACACTATTGCCTTTCTCTGCACACAGTGTAGTTTAAAGTCTAAATAATAAAATATGTCAATGAGGTGTATGAACTACAGCATATTTTCTACAATACTTATGTTTAAATTTTCACCACCAATTTCTTTTTCTATCCCTCAGGTCCTTCGTGGAAACCCTCACCACTGCTGCATACGACAGCATAAAAGAGTTCGAGACTTTCCTAGCATCGTCGCACGCTCCTTTTGTGACCAACAACGGGCACTATGACCATGATGATGACAAACTCACAGTTTGGCCTGGAAGACATGGAGGTCCTTCTCTGGGGACCTTCCTCTCCCATGGCTGACGCCATGGACCTCTTATCTGTTTGCCCTGACCAAGAAGAACTACAGGAAGGAGGAACCTCTTTGGAGGGGGACACTTCACCCGCGTCTCCCCTCACCTCCTCATCGCTGTCTTCTTTCTCCTCTCCTCCTCCCTTCTACTCTCCTCCTCCCTCACCGCCGGCCGTCCTCTTCCAGGGGGACAAAGTCGGGGCTGAGTCTGACCTGCTCTCCCTTCCCTGGTTGGGCCATCCTGGTCAGCTGAGACAGAGCGTCTCAGATGACAGCAAAGGTAATGATGTTGTAAAATAAGTTCTAATGATCCAAAAGCAGTGTTTTAAGCACATTTGAAATCATTTTTCAGCACCAAATTAGAGGTTTATTAAACGATTAAAAGCCATCATCTCATTAATTTAATGCCTCTGTTTCCTTCACAGAGGATATGTTCGGTGACCTGGACTGGATGGCTGAGAGGGTGGATCTGAGTGAGCTTGACCTGGAGAGTCTGATTGGCTCCTGCAGTCCTACTGAAGAGTCCCCTGGCTCTCCAGACGACATCCTAGCCTCCTTGGATTGCTCCATGGAGCTTGACACCCTCCCAATGCCCACTCTCTCAACTTCTGTGCTCCCGAGTCTTCCCGCTGCTTCTCTTCCATGTGTGTCTCCTCCTCCCCCTGACCCTCTTCCCACTGTCTGTGCCGAGCCTTCTGTCATTACAGTGGATGAGCCCGAGTCCTACGTTGATGAACAGGGTGTCCCCTCCCCTCCCATGTGTGTCCCAGAGCCACAGGAAGAGCTGGAAATCAAGTCTGAGCCCACATCTCCAGACCCGTCTTCCCCCCTGGTTGATTCTCCCTCCTCCCCAGCCTACACCCTGGACCTGGGCAGTGAAGTGGATGTCTCTGAGAGTGAGGTGAAGCCAGTGGTGATTCCTGTCGTCCCTCAGGTCCAGAGGCTCGTACTCAACCTCGCACCGACCCGTATCGTCCTCGTGCTGGCTCCCAAAGAGGAAGTCTCAATCGCCACCACATCAGAGGTCGTGCATTCCGCCCCTGCTCCAAAATCGTCCAGAAGCAGACCATACCCCGAGCCCACATTTAAAGCGAGTCCACCGTCTCCCAATGCCATCAGTGTCAAAGTCAAAACCCTCCGTGGCGCAGGTGGAGAAGAACGGACGAGTTTCAAGGCACCAAAGGCCAAGAAACTTAAGAAGATGGAGCAGAATAAGACGGCCGCCACACGTTACAGGCAGAAGAAGAAAACTGAGCAGGAAGCACTTCTTGAAGAGCATGCACTGCTGGAGAGGAAGAACATGGAGCTGACTGAGAAGGCAGAATCCATGGCAAGGGAGATTGAGTACCTGAAAGAGCTGATGGAGGAGGTCCGCCTGGCCAGGACCAAAAAAGGTCTTAGTGCTGACCTCTAGTGGTTGGACCAAATGACGTGTGAAGAAGTGATATTTGAGAAAGTGGGGCTCAGCAGATTTTTGAATTTCTTTCATGCAAACAGTAAAGTATCTGTCCACTCAGCACGTCTTGGATGCACAATCCAGTAAATCTGATGTTTGTTAGAACATCTTTTTAAAAATATCTAACACTGGTATTTAATATAGTATACTTTTCTGCTGTTTAGAGTAGTTCTATGGTAACAAGTATTTCCCATTAAGGATGTAAACTTGTGTGCTCTTGTAATTGTTGTTGTATATTTTTCCTCTCTCTGGACCTCAGTACCGTGCCAGTAGAATGTATTTTAAGAACTTGTGTATGTATTATAGTATAACCGGACCATCTGTATTATGAGTCTCTTAATAAAGAGTCTAAAAACCTAATTGCTGTCTTTTGGGTTCCCTCTGGGTATCAGTTTATATTGGGAGGATAGTATTAGACAATGGCTGCTATAGGTTTTCAAAACATTTTTAATTATCTTTCCTTGGATAATATATCATAATAGCTGTAAAAGTGAGAATCATTTAAAACAATAGCAATGTGAAATGGTTAAAGGGGGGATATATACAGGGTGAGAATGGGTTTGCAAGATCGTAAATGGCATTATATGAAGACCAAATCCCTGGTTTCAAATGATTCAGAAAGCTTCGCCGCAGTGCTGGTGATTCATACGTACAGTGAACTAGTTAACATCGGTGAAGCACGTGATTTATGACTTAGTTTGAGACAGTTTTAAGTGTTCAGAATGTAACCTCGTCCCGAACACACAGTCTTTGTTCCTGATGTGATAACACAGCACAATGAGCCTGCAGAGGTCCATCTGTGTGGAGCCTCTTTCAAACAAACTGGGAAGAGGATAATGGGGCCCGCCTGACCAGCAGTGTGCTGCACACACGAGTATTCAATCAACTGACAGTCATGTGAAAAAAAAAAGAAGCAATTTCTAAGTACAAGGGAAACCAGTTTAAGATAAAACATGTATTGTTTTAGTGGGTTTTTTCCCTCTGCTGATCACTAAATTATGACACTTGCTGATGTGTGTTTCTCATAGTCTGTGGGAGAATGAGAGAGAGAGGGAGAAAAGAGAGTGCTGACTGGTGCTGACCTCGGCACTGCTGGAATAATATTACCAACAGAAATGCGGGCATTCAGCCTACGACTGGCCCGAGGTGTTCACACTGTAATTGGCCCAGGCTTTCATCCAGATAGCTTAGGGACGATCTATAGCTGGAGGCATGCCAAAGTCAAGATGGTGCAGAGCTACTTACAATAGGAAAAACATTTCCTCCAGAAAAAGACTTGGCTAACTCATGCCTGTGTAAATGCTCTCATTTTTCAAAGGTGTGTTCAAGATTCTTACTTTCTAAGCAACATAATTATGAAAGACCACTTCTTTTCCTCGTTTAGAGTTGGTATAGACATACTGACATACAGTATAAATGGTTACCTGACCAGATACGGCAGCCAAGATCAATAAAACCTTATAAAATATAGTACAGTATGTGTACTGTATGTACTAATGGTAGTTTTTGACAACGTAAAGTTAAAATGAATGTGTCAACGATCCCCAAATAGTCTGCTTGGAAAAATAATGTGTGTCTAACATGTTTTTCCCACAAGCACAAGTTTAATTGCCACATTAAAATTCTTAAAAAAGATATCTTCTCCATCTTCCTCATTATAAATTCCAGTAAATTTTGTATGAATATACAGTTTAATAATAATAGTTTCCTCAATAAAGTTTTCCTACTGGACACAAACTGTCTCCTCCTTCACTTTAGAGTCCATTCTCAGTGTATGTGCACTGGTGGCTTCAGGTTTCTACATCACACTGTACAAGCTGCATCCTGGATCAGGTTTGACTTCCAAACTACTTATGATGTCACAAATCAATCTCATAGGCCCCGCCCCTTAAAGTCAAACTCTGCACATACATCATTCTGTACTGTGAAACCCAAACATCACACTGTGGGAAGAACAAAAACATACTTTTGACTGGAGGGGACTTTAAGAAAAGAGGGTTTTCTAGACTTTTCTTACTAACTTTATAATATTTTAAACAGAATTCTTTCCCATGGAGAGCAGATAATACACTAAATGAGTGATTTCACATTGTTTTAAAATATATTTTTTGCTTAGTGTAAGTATCCACAGTCAGTATTCAGTATCAGTATTCAAATCTGCTTGCTACAGTGCCATCTAGTGACAATACTGCATCCACCTACTACTTCCACCACAGGGTTATCTGCATGTCAAAACAATCATGTTTTCTAGGATAGTACTTCAGTTTGTCTATAGGAAAAATAAAATAAAATAACAAATAATAAGATGAAAGCCAAAAATACACAACAATATATCCATATCTTTTATTGTTGTCTGAGGATGAGCTAAGTACTGATGATGCAATCACCATTTAGGACGGACCACACAGGAAGTAACGTCACTTTGGCTACGGTAGAGTGGTAGAACTTACACAGTGCAAAATGCTTCGCTAAAAGCGTACAATGTAACATATTTTACACTGTAAATATACACGGATAATACAATATATTCACAGGTGAAGTGGGACTCTAAGACTCCAAATGAATGTTTGAAACATCCTCATATCAAATTGTAAAGTCATGCTTGTCACACGAAGTGCTGCGGTAGCCTACATCACTAGATGAAGCACAGAGTCAGTAAAGCGTACGGGGAAGCAGTGTCGGGGGGTTTTCTTTTATAGGCTACGTCATTTGTATAAAATAACATTTTACAGCATGGCAGTGGTATCGGTCACATATTATATATGCTTTTATTTGTACCTTTCAGAGCGTGAATTAGCTTTTTTCCACTTTTTTTTGCAGTCGTAAAGGTAGAGGGATGTGATGTCATACCAGAAGTTCCCACAGACTTGCTCAAGCAAGAGTCAGAGGAATAAGAAGTGAGGTTGCCTTCAACTCTATAGGCACTCGTTTATCTGCATGCGGTGTCTTAACATGCCTCTGAGAGCTGAATATATATATTTTATTTTTTCAAAACATCCCTATTGATGTCAGGAACAGATGTCCCAGTGATGTAGAAAAAGGTAGTAAAAGCCCTATGTGAGCCCGTATGGTTCATGAGGTTATGTTGTTTCTGTAGCATGCGAAAGCTCGATGTAGCCTACGGGATACTGCCCCGCAGCAGGGCTGTACTCCCACTCTCACGCTTTGATGCTGAGGCACGTAGCTGAATCTACCTTGTCGATAAATGCAATGGATGCATGACCGCAAACAGCGAAGCAGAGCCAGTCCAAGTAGCTCCGCAGGGAACTGAGACTGCACACAGTTTCAATACAGCCTTTCCTTACTGTTTTTAGGGCTGCTCCTGTGTATGAATGCTACAGCAGAAGGTGGGCTAAGAATGACTATATTTACTGCTTTAGATGGATCCAGTTAATTTTTTTTTTAGCACAAGATAACCAAAGGAACCAATTCCAGCCAGAGTGCAAACACTGGCTCTCTCTTACTTCCAGCAAACTAAAGCAAATACTTACAGAAAACCCTCCATTTTGAATTAATATTTGACTTACGTATGCAGTTTAGTGATCGGCATTAATCAGCGTTTCTGTAAATGTACCAGATTTTGCCCTGGAGGAAGCATTTTAAACCCTGACTCCCTGAGCAGAAACTAACCAAATGTTAATGAAGAAAATTTTAACATCACTCGTGTGAAAGCTCATAAAGTTTCATGTCTGAGGGTGAACGATACCGGTAACATCTACGTAACCGGAGTGCACAACTCACAAAACCACTCACTCTTAAACTGGTGTGCACACACTCCAGCATTATTATCTTTTGTCCTACTGTCTGTCCATGGTTTGGTATTCAGTTGGTCTCTGCCACTCAAACCATTACTTTTGAACTACTAATTCAATCTGACTGACAGAATTGGCACGTGACGCAGAAGGGGATGACTAATTCATGGTACAAGTCAGACACAGAGATATTCCTCTTTGTCGTCCAATAACTAAGAGTGACAAACGTACTGCAGACATGAGACACGAATATCTTCAGTATATGCCTTTTGGTTTTGATTTAACACTTTAAACTGGTATTAGTGTGGTCTTAACATAGTTACAATGACGAGTAATTCTTTACTCTGCAGTGTTGAAACAGGGTCTCTTTAGCAGCAGTGGATATCTGTGTACATGCTCATGAACAGGGATCAAACTCTGGTCCCATGAAGCAGAAGCAGAATGTTTCTCCTCCGCTTGGGTTTTGAGGAGGAGTGTTTTGAGCATTTAGTCTCAGGCGTGCTCACTTTCAGTCCAGGTCGAGCTTTGCTCAGTGACTTCGGCCTTTACATTTCATTCAAAAGGAGCTACTCACGATGAGACTCTTGTTCCGAACCATTTGTTTTCCCTAAAACTCTGCAGAGTCTGAGCCGGATATCTAGATGAGGTTTAAGTTACACAAGGCGATGTTTGGGCCTATTGAAGGCTCAGAACGAGGATGAAAAGCCGGACCACTTTCCTTCTGGTGCGATCGTGTCACTGAAGCTGGCATCCTCGACAGTCATCTTCAGGCTCCGTGTTGTCAGAAGAGTAAGAACTCTCCTCGCTCACTGTCAAATGCAACACAGTTATATTAGACAGATGATTAATATAAAAAGGTCAACGATTAGACACACAGACTTCAGACATGTATGTACGTACGCTCAGACTGCAAAACAAGAAGGTATAGGAAAATAAAATTGTGTGACTTACACCACTCCGTCTGTATGGGGAGGAAAGCCTTGTCTCCGTTCTCTCTGATCATCTCCTCTATCTTATCCAGCAGGACTGACACACTCCTGTCCTTGCCAGGGGTCTTACTGTCCAGGACGTGGTAATAGTTCCCACAGTATTCAAGTAGTCTTTGCAGCTCCCGCCCGCCTCTAAGAATGTGTTCCTCGATGGGTGTGCGGCCCAACCAATCACCACAGCTGAACAGCACCATGGTGTGGAGGCACGCGCTGTCACCAAACAGAGTCTCTATGTGAGCCAGGAGAGTTCGTCTCTTCCTGGCGGTGAGCGACGAGACGACTGGGAGGACGAGCAGCAGGGTGTGGGGTCCAGGTCGCAGGAGGGCAGCTCCGCGCTGGGACTCTTGGCGGATGCGCTTCGGGGTTCGCCTCACCGAGAACCAATCCCAGCCCGGAGTGTCGACGATGGTGACCCGACGGCCTGATACGAGCGCCTGCCTTCTAAGGCACAGGTCCGTCTCCTGGCCTGATTCAAAGTACCGCCGGCCCAGGATGGAGTTCCCCACGGAGCTCTTTCCCACGCCCTTCCAGCCCAACAACAGCAGTCTCAACTCTGAGAGAGAGAAAAACAGACAAAGGAAGATTTAGATATGGACAGAAAGATGGAGAGGAAAACGGTGAGAGAGAATGGAAAACCATTAAGAATTAAATCAATATTGATTGACTACCAATGAGTAAGCTATTTCCTAGAACACCAATTCTGGAGATTTGTTTTCCCAACAGCAATACAATGCATGACTCACTCACACACACTAACACACACAGCTGCCTCATACCTCTGGGAGGTCCTCCAATCATTTGCTCCCGCTGTCTGGCGTGCTCCTCCATCCTCATCCTCTCCTCCTCCAGGGCTCTCCTGGCCTGCTCCTCCTCCAGTAAAATCAACTCATTCACCTCAAAGTACCAGCCTGCATGACAGAGACAATATATGATTTGTTGTCTTCAGTTCTATAACACAGCTGATGTGTTCGTTAATAATGCATTGAATGCTCTGCATACAGTATTGTTATTGAGCGTATCGTAGCACAACACAATGATATTACTTCATGTGCAAAACAAACCTTGGTTGTCAGTGATCATCTCCTCCACCTTCTCCATCAGCTCAGGTACCTGTGTGTTGTCTTCTGTTTCTTTGCGAGTGTTATCAAAGGCATGGTACCTACAGGTGAAAGGGACACATTGTTAAAGGGGCATTCCACCAGTTTTAAACATAAAGTAACTTTTCTCATTACGAGGAGTCCTATTCGGCCTGTGAAAACAGGTTGTATAATGTCTTCTGTAGCTCTGAAGGGGGATTTCACAAATTTGAGGAAATAACCCTGATGAGTCATAATGATGTCATCAGGGTATCAGTGGACGTAAGACTTAAACAGAAAGCAAAACACCGTCCAGTGGACATTTTTGGATCTGGAAACATAACAGGGACTAAAAGTCAGTTTATCTTGATTTTGACTGTTTTTAAAAAAATCTGCCACTTAATCGGACTTTCTCAGAGTACTGAATCACTGGAGTGCCCTTCTAAACAATGCAAAGAAGGTTTATGGCCAACTGTGAACAGATGCACAAGTCACCCTGTAAGAAACTTACTCCATTGATTTAGCAAGCGATATCTTTAATATATATATATATATATATATATATATATATATATATATATTTAATTATTATATCTTTTTTATTCCATGTATTCCTCTTTCTTGTCAAAACCTGGTGCCAACATTACCCATAATGCAACTGAGACAGCAACAGTTCAGTCAGAGATTTGGGTCTGTTATGCTAGCAATGTTAATGTAGCCTTGGGCTACAGAAGTCTGGTAGCCTCACTTCTTTCTAACCCCACAAAACCAGATTCTATTTATTTTCAAATTTGTAGTTTTCAGACCTCAAACGACATCACTTGAGGCAACTTGTAACATTTCGAGCAGCTCCCTCTAGGGCCAAAATCTTTATACTACTTTTTTCACTTACGCAGTGGTATTTTGATTTCATTTTTAATTTAATTTAATCTAATATTTTTTGAGCCCAATGAGCACTGTATAATAATACCTATCCTGTTCAAAGGTTTCACACTCTTCACTATTAATCGCCCCGTCTACAGTACAGGCAGCTGGAAAAACAAAATCTTATCAGACGAGGGAATCTGTCAGTCTTTGTCTGTGGCCTGCATGTGTATGAATTTAGGGGGTCCTTGACACCAAAATCGTTTAGAACCACGAGTCTATTGATCTGCTGCGCCGTTGCTCCAAACACAAGATTCAGTAATTATTTGAGTGCACAGTTCTAACAAAGATTTGACAAAGACTTTTGTTTAGAGCAGGAGAGAAGAGAAAGGGAGAAAACAGATACTGTACCTGCTTCCACATCTCTCCACCAGCCACTGCAGGGCCTCTCCAGTGTTTGCTATGTGCTCCTCAATGAAAACACCTTTGGGCAGCTTGTCCACCCCCGTAAAGACCACCATAGAGTACCTCCATGTCCCCCCACCCAGGGCCCCCAGCTGCTCCTCTGCGGCCCTCCTCTGGATGTCAGTGAAGGGCTGGGTGATGGACACCACTAGCAGGATGGCGTGGGGTCCAGGAGGGCAGAGAATGGCTCCCATGCACGGCCCCTCGCTGTCCAGGCTCGGCGGGGGCTGTGGCTGGTTGTCCGACTCGGCGCCAGCATTGTCGTTGCTGTCAGCTTCGGCGTTGTCGTCCGGGTCACTGGGGATGGCCCACGGCGGGGTGTCTACCACAGTCACCCGTCGGCCGTAGATCTCCGTCTGGCCCACGTTGCTGTGAGTAGTCTCTGTCCCAGAGTCGAAGACCTCATCCCCCAGGATTGAGTTGGCGGTGGAGGTCTTACCAGACTGTGGCCCCCCCAGGATCAGTAGTCTGCGTTCAGGGGGGTGTCGGCCCCTGGGGTCCCCTGTTAAAACACAAAATTACTATTAAGTTACATAAAATAAAGATTAGACTGGAGGTTCCCCACATGGATGGGTTTGTTGGTTTTGTTTTCTAACTGCTGCCTCAGAGGAAATTATCTTTATCCTTTACTCTGTTTTAATCCCCTGTTCCGTCTCTGAAGGATTGTCTTGTGCCCAAAGTGCTTTTTGGAGATGAAGAAACATATAACCATAGCCCTCTAGTTCACATGCCCTCCCTTTCTCTCCTCACTCCTTAGATTTCCCCTTCTTATCTGAGCTCCTTGCTACCTTATACCTCTTCTCCTTAACTGCCTCCTCTTTCATTCTTGTCCTTATCCCCTTCTCTCCCCCTCGCAGCCATGCCTCCTCTTTGTTTTCCTCCGTCCTTAGCCTTTGGAAAAATTGGGTCAGAGAGGAGGAACCTTGGACTCCTTCCAGAAAGAATGGCATGTGGACAGAATATGATTTACTTTGAGTCAAAGTTACACGAAGAGAATGCATGTTTTGATAAACAGCATCACAGAAGAATGAGTATGGATGAATATTCAGAGGACGGCAAGAGGAAGGATGCCTGCGCTGTGCGGATGCCAAGAGGGGGAGAACACAGAGGGAGGAGAAGGAAGTTTATTGATTTACGTCTGTTACTCACTGCTGCTGACACTTTCCATGTGAGCTGCTAAATACAGGAAGTTGATTCCAGCAACAGTTTCTCAGTATTGGATGTTTGGGATTCAAACATGAAACCGCTCTACCCTGGATGCTGTCAATGAATGAATGGGGATGAATGGGGGAACCTGCGGCGAGGTGTGCAGCAAATGATGAAAAACCCACTTACCAGTGTCAGAGGCAGAGGACACAGCAGCCATCTTGTGTGTAGAACCTCTGGCTTCCTCCTCCTCAGCCCCCCTCCTCCTTCTCCTTCTCGCCTCCACGGTGGCTTCCTCTTCTTGCCTCTTCAGAAAGCGACGGATCCAAAAGCGAAAGGCTGGCAGCTCAAATGCTTCTTGGCTCTCTCTTTCACTCTAACCCTCATTCTACTGCAGTGTAACTCACTCTATCTTCTGTTCCCCGTGTCTACCCCTGCCTCCCTTTCTCTCCTCATACCTCCGCTGCCATTCAACTTCTCTCCCTCTTTTTTTTTTTTTTAATCTATTATGCTCCACACCCCCTCACCCTGCTATGGCTCTTTTCTGTCCTTTCCTCCGTAGCTTCTCTCCCCTTCTCCTCGTCTTCCAGCGTTCCTTCTTTGGTCTTATTTATCTGTTCAAGCAGAGGGGAAAGATTGTGCAATGCAGGAGGCTGGAAGCCAAATCCACCCCTGCTGCAGCAATTCCAGTAAGATGTCTTGTCATTTTTTTTTAGACAAAACAGAGGAAGCTGTTCCTCCCACTTGCTCGTATCACACAGGGGCAGCAGCAGCAGCAGCAGCAGTGTGGCACTGTAGGCAGACTGCAGTCAGGAGGACAGATAGAAAGATGGATAGACAGAGAGAGAGAGAGGGAGAGGGAGAGGGAGGGAGAGAGAGGAGCACTTTGTTCTCTGTTTACAGCTGGATGTATTCCCCAGCTGCTGCATCATGCACAAACATAACTATTTATATGATGCCTGCAGACATAGAAATATTGTGAGGCAGGGAGGGAGGTGTATACTGCATGGACACATTTAAATATTGATATAAGACATGCAGCCACAGCTTACATAATACATATAAAAGCTCCTATGAACTGTAAGACGTTATCTGATTGCACTGGCTTCAAAGCACTGTCACCTTAGTGCCAGAGGGATGCATCACAACATGGTGAAAAACGACAGAAATCACCCTGAACCTCTGAGCTCATCCTTGGCTCCCGGTCAGGTTAATTATGTACGCTATATGGCGAGATACATTCACGGACCTAAGGGAAATCACGTAAAACAGAGGATTAGAAAACACTAAGCTGTGTGCACTTTAAAGTAAAGAGAAACCACAGTGATGCATTTTATAATGTTTGCTAGCGTACTTCCACGTATTGTTTAGCTAGTTTCTAAACTATTTAAGAGCAATTAGCCGATGACATAGTAGCGCCACTCTGCCGTACACCGTGTCACAAGTGTCGTGTTTTCGACCTCATGCCGTACTTGTAGTGTCGTAAAAAAAAAAGCACTGCCTCTGTCCCACGTGACGCTACAAGCTGAAGTCGGCGCGGCTACTTGTGGGAGCTGGTGTGTGTAGTGTGTGTAGTGTGTGTGTGTGGAGGTGCGGGGCCAGACCTGTTGTGTTGTGTGTTTATATAGCGGACACAGCCTTACTATCATGGAGGGAGCTGACGAGTTCATGAAGTACCGTTCCCCGCTGGTATCGAGGTATGCCAGCAAGGAAATGGCCTACAACTTCAGTGACAGGAAGAAATTCACCACCTGGAGGAAGCTGTGGATCTACCTGGCTAAGGCTGAGAAGGTTTGGCACTTTGTAGCTGGATGGTAGCAACCATAGCATGTGTTCCTTGCTGTTATATACACGCTTTGTTCATGCTTATGTCTTGTGAGCTGAGGTTTGCGACCTTCAGAGAGCCCTATCAAGTTCCCTGCTCTAAATATAGTAGTAAGGAGGACCCCATGGAAGAGCTCTCTGCATGGTTGTAAGGTGCTGAGCTGAGAGCAGAGGTATACAATAAGAAGAAAAAAAACCAACATGTTTAAAACCATAAAGAATAACAAGAAACAGTGTTAGGTTTAGAGTTTATTAGTCTTCATGATCTTAACTACATTGCTATTTACAGAAACCAATTTAATGAATGCAATGTTTAAACAAATAGTGACGTTTTCCTTTTTGTCCATGCATTTATCAATCTGAAATTCAAATTAATTTAAAGAGTAGTTGCATACAGCTGCAGACTAATTTATCTCCTAGGATGCAAAATTATACTTGCTTCCATTCAGTGTGTTGTTCAAATTCAAACTGCATCAGTGCAACAAAGACCTTTTTCTGCTAAAAAAAACAAAACACCCAGAACCCAAAACATGTTATTTATTGTGCATCATTTTATGCACATTTTTACTAAAAGTCAATCTAAGTATTGAATACTTGAAGAAGACTTGTGGTCTTCTCTAGAACTTGAACTTCAGGGGTTATGAGAAAGTACCCTCTGAAACATCTTGACATTTAGCTCCCAAACCAAACAACTAGTGTTCCCCCCAGCCCACGTTTAACACACCGGTCAAGATTTATCAAAAGACACAAGGTGTGCTTAACCAAGTTGAATTTCGCAGCTGTTGATGGTTCAAAAATATCTGTTAACATTTCCCTGGAGCTGAACTCTAAAGCTTATAATGTCATTTTAAAAATGCCTCTCATTGATTTGGGCATTTGCTAACTGTTGACAGACCCTCTCTCACATGCATCACCTCACATGACCTGTTACACACACACACACACACACACACACACACACACACACACACACACACACACACACAGTCCATCTTTTCCTCTTTTCCCTGCAGTTCGAGATGTTCGTTAGGGGCTTAGCCTGGCTACAGCTTGCCTGTGCTGAGGTTGTGAGGCCAGTGGCTGTCGCTGTGTGGTTTGTGTATGAAAATAGCATGCAGAGAATGTCACAGTAACAGGAGACCGACCCTTGAGAGGCAGCATTTTACCAGCTCAGCCTAATGTCTGTAGCATTTTCCCTTAAAACACTTCTATTTTGATACAATAATATATATTATAATATATTTTCTGCAGTGACCTCTCTTGTGTCGAGTCACTATTTGCTTGGAATTGGCCTGCCCACAGTCTGACCTTTGACCCAGCAGGGTTTGATGTTGTTGGGTCGTGAACTGATAACATAGAGGGAGAGAGGTACTCTCAGGGGTTGGGCTCAATTTTTCAATTAACCCATTCTGTGGCCCCATCTCATGACTGCTCTGTACCAATGGGACAAACCTCCAATCTAATCAGGATATTGAGCGCCTTCTCACGAGGAGAGCACATGCCTGTCAAGACTGTAGAAAAGACAGAAGGATGATTAGTGTCATCATGTTGGTCTCCTGTATAAACATCTTAAAATCACATGTGATTGCTGCTACTAATGCCCAGATTACCTGCCTCTAAACTAAGGCTGTAGCTATTTCAGTATCAGTTAATCTCCTTGTTATCTTTTTATATTAATCAAATTGTCAAACATTTTTTAAATGCTCATCACAGTTTCCCAGACTCCAAGGTGACTCCTTCAAATGTCTTTTGTTCAACCAAAAGTCCAAAGACATCGCATTCACTATAAATCCTCACATTATAAGAAGCTGAAACTAGAGAATGTTAATTCATTTATTTTTCATAATAATTCTTCTGTCGAGCAACTGATTAATTAAACGACTAATCAAAAAAACCCATTGATGGGTGCCTGGTTAGCTCAGTCGGTAGAGCTGGAGACTCATGTACGGAGTTGCTGCAGTGGCCCGGGTTTGAATCCGACCTGCGGCCCTTTGCTGTGTGTCATCCCCTCTCTCTGCCCCCCCTTCCTGTCCATCTTCGGCTATCACTATAATAAAAGCAATAAAATATTAAAAAAATCAAAATAAATATATTACTTTATATTAACCTGTTAAATTGCCTTCAATATATGCCATACACACAGTTAGTCTTTAAGAATAAAATGTACATCACAGTAAAGCTAGTATAACATAGTATCGGTATATTGTGATTATCTAATAAACATCAGATCACATCACATGCATAATAATATAAAACATTTCCAGTTATAACCTTTACAATGTGAATGAAAACAGTGTTGTTAAATTAAATTATAATGCAACAAATTCACAATTTTTCTCTTTCCTTCCTCTTCATCGTTGTCTTCCTCAGGCTTTGGGTCTGCCCATCACGGACGCCCAGGTTCTGGAGATGGAAAGCCACGAAAAGGACATTGACTTCGCCATGGCGGCTGACGAGGAACGCAAGCTCAGGCACGATGTCATGGCCCATGTCCACACCTTCGCCCACTGCTGCCCCACCGCTGCTCCCATCATCCACCTCGGTGCCACCTCCTGCTACGTGGGAGACAATACTGTAATTAAATAAGTATTATATAAAGGACTATGGCCTGCATCATTCATTGCATTACATGATCAATAATCTCATATTTGTGCTCCAGATTGTTCTTTATGTGTTCCCTTGAAAAACAGCTAGAAGATGTAATACTGCGTTGGGATTATTTATGATGTACAAAGTGCTTTTCTATAAAGGTTTCCGTGTTCTCTAAGTTGTTTTGTTTTTCTTCCTCAGGATCTGATTATGCTGCGTGATGGATTTGACATCCTCTTGCCTAAGGTGAGGCTCAGCTGTTTGCCAGAAAACACGCACACCCATCCAGTTGTGCATCTATGAAATTGCCATTTTTTTTAAATTTTTCTTTGCCTCAGCTGTTCAGCAACAAATCAACAACGTAGAAATAATTTTCTATCACACCATATACGTAGAATAGAAATGAGAAATCAGCTTATTAACGTGACGGTTTGTGCAGGCACAAGTGAAAACGGTGTATTATGCAATAATTCACAGCTAAAAACCCTTTGTTCTTTTTTTCCACAGCTGGCCAGAGTCATTGACAGGCTTGCAAACTTTGCAGAGAAATACGCTGATCTTCCCACGCTCGGCTTCACGCACTACCAGTGAGTCTCAATGCAGCTGCACCTCTCTGACGCTCGTCGTCCTATTTGCAACCTTGTCACGTGGCTGCGTTTACACGTTTTCTCTCTTCTCTCCTCCTTCTCTCGCTGCGCCTGCTCCCCCTACAGGCCCGCCCAGTTGACCACAGTGGGAAAGCGAGCATGTCTGTGGCTGCAGGACTTGGCTATGGACATGCGCAACCTGCAACGAGCCCGTGATGACCTGCGTTTCCGGGGAGTCAAGGGGACCACTGGGACCCAGGCCAGCTTCCTACAGCTCTTTCAGGGGGACCATGACAAGGTATAGATAATCAATAAACTAACATGTAGATGGCGATGATGATGATTTTTAAATTCAGAAATCTTATAAATAAATATGATTGCTCTAAAAATGAACCTAAAAATTCTTACATTTTAATCATTTTCGTTCGCCAGGTAGAAGAGCTCGACAGAATGGTGACAGAGATGGCTGGCTTCAAAAAGTACGTTTTACAATATTTCATCTTCATATCTGTTCTCTAATAATAATGGATGTAATAAATAATGGCATAAATGTGATGACACAAGACAAGCAGCAAGTTATTTTTGTAATCTAAATGCCACAACCACAATAAAGGTTGCGTCATTTAACACGTAACAGAGACTTTGTTATTGGCCCTGATGATGTTGTGTCCTGTGCTACGCAGAGCCTACCTGGTGACTGGACAGACATACAGTCGTAAGGTGGACGTAGACTGTCTGTCCAGCCTGGCCAGTTTGGGAGCCACTGTTCACAAGGTAAGCTGCAGGCGTTGCAGACATATAGAGGAATGTTGCCATCTAGTGGATTTACTGGGAGTTTGCAAGCAATATGATGAACCTACTCTTCATCTGACTTTTTAAAATTAGCATTCAGTATTTGTATAAACTCATCGAGTCTCATCTTTGATCTGTCTTTCTGCTTTAGATCTGCACAGACATCCGCCTGCTCGCCAACCTAAAAGAAATTGAGGAGCCTTTTGAGAAAGAGCAGATCGGTATATTCACTCACATTCACTCAGTTTCACATTCTGAACATCAAAGGCGCGTGATCCTGTTACAGCACAAACCTGCATGCCAGCATGAAGTTATCTTCCTCTTCCAGGTTCCAGCGCCATGCCGTACAAGAGGAACCCCATGCGTGCAGAGCGGTGCTGTAGCTTGGCCCGACATCTGGTGGCACTGATGTCCGACCCGCTGCAGACGGCCTCGGTACAGTGGCTGGAGAGGACGCTGGATGACAGCGCAAACAGGTCAACTACCACGTGACCAAAAATAATTTACTGAGATTTTTTCCCTTATATGACATCTCCACCAACAGTGTTACTCAGTAAGAAGTTGCAGCTTGTTATTGAATCAGCTAAAGGTATCTGGGCTCTGAATTGGTACTGGAAAGAGTAGGATGGTATATTTTCTTTCTGGTTCCTCTACATATTTACTCATATGACCCCCTTCACTCATGTGCAGGAGGATCTCCCTGCCTGAGTCCTTCCTGACAGCTGACATCATCCTCAGCACCCTGCAGAACATCACAGAGGGGCTGGTGGTCTACCCCAAAGTCATTGAGAGGCACATCCGCCACGAGCTGCCCTTCATGGCCACAGAGAACATCATTATGGCCATGGTGAAGGCTGGAGGGAACAGACAGGTAATGCCATCGGTTTGTAGCGTGAACAGAGCACGGTTGCTTTGACCTCGTTTGGTCAAACGGTGCTTTAAAATTTCATCTTTCTGCTCCTTCAGGACTGCCACGAGAAGATCCGTGTTCTGTCCCAGGAGGCGGCAGCTGTGGTCAAACAGGAAGGTGGTGATAATGACCTGCTGGCCAGAGTCCAGGGAGACCCTTACTTCGCCCCCATTCTGGGGCAGCTGGACACCATACTGGATCCCAAGACATTTATTGGTCGTGCTCCGCAGCAGGTACCGCATAAACGGTCCCACATCTTTATTCCTGCTGCTACTCTGCCATCACAAGAGCCTTCAGCCTGTATACATAGCAACAGGCACCCAAAAGGGCTGCGTCTTGGCAAGAATTAGGCAGTATGATACGTATCACAATACAGAGGTTACGATTCATAATATTGCCATATATTTTGATTCTAATTTTAGAAAAACTTTAATATTATAAAGAACACGCCACCATATGCATAATATCTGAGTAAAAAAAGCTGTTTTTTTTAATGCAACCAGAACAGTTATCAGTCCCTGTAACATCCAACAACACAGCCCTTAGTTTATAAAACCGTTAGCTGTTAGCGGTTGGAGGTTAAAATATAAAAGTCGGCGCAATATCACTAAACAATATCGTGATACAATATTTTTCGATATTTTTTTACACCCCTAGCACCCAGGCTCAGTTGTTTTTTCTCACAGACTTGAAAGCTGTTCTCAAAATGCCCATCTAGAATGACAGCCTCGTGTGTAATCGTGTGTAATTCATTCAGTTCTTTCCCTATGTTGTGTCTAGGTGTCCAGGTTCCTGTCTGAAGAAGTACGCCCCCAGCTGGAACCTTACAAGGCTAAGATGGATGTCAAGATTGAGCTTGAGCTCTGACACGCACACACAAACAAGTAGCCAAGAGAAAGAGACTTCATCATGGTGTGTGGCCTCAATAAATGACTAAATTAATTGATCTCCATGTGTCTCCTAGTGTTTTCATTTGTGTGCTTTGTGTATACTCGAAATCATACTTAGTGTTGCATGTTTTTTAATGAAATATAACTCAAACAGTGAATAATAATAATGTGGTAATAATCATGGTCCTCTTTATTGACAAGAACCAAAGGTCATATGTGCTTCAAGGGCCTTTACAACCTCCCTCGTCATTACAAAAATGCTAATTAAATACTTAAGTGAATTATTAATCCACCACATTATGACTTAACCTTTACGACTGATCCTGCAATCATCTGCAGACATCGGTTGCCTGAATATGGTTGAGACTGTGTTTCACACAATTTAAACTGTTAGGATAATCAGGATCCTGTTTAGAGTATTCAGACTTTGGGGTTTGTTTTCAGTTAACGGAAAGGAAGAGGTAAACTGTAGAGGAGAGGAAACACTCTGTTAGAACTGGGTGGAACAAGAGGTTGTAAATCTAAAAAAACACCGGCTCAAAGTCCAGCCCAGCCCTTAAAATAGAAACAGTCATGTTACCGTACTTTCCAATGTAACGCACCACTTGATAATTCCCAGTGGAGAGAATAAGACAGGCTTTTTTGTTGTTGTTGTTTAGAAACTCAACTTTTTAAAAATATTGGTAATATTTCTCTGTTGCCCTCCCTCAAACTACACTTTTCATCCCCCGGTAACCAAAAACCACACTCATGGTGTACGGCTGACACAAAGTTGACTTGTCACTGCATGTATGAAACATCAGGACAAAGTGCAGAAGTGTCTAAGCTCACATCATCTGCTAGTGTCATTATGGTAACGGTAAAGATGGACTGAGCTACTCTGAATGAAGTTTTAATAGAGAGCTGCATCTCAACCCACAACCAGCAGTTCCCCAGCACAGAGTGAGTACGAATGTCTTCTCTCTCACACAATGTGAAGTTAATTATTCATACTTTATGTTTACTCTGCCACTCATAGTTTCGGGCTGTGTGCGTTTCCATAGGACCACTTTGTTTGGTAAGGGATTGGAGGCAGTAATGCATGTTTCCTCCGTATGAACCAAGCGACAGCTGTCCTGCAACATGTGGCTGTGGGCATTACTCCCCGTCTGTCTGGCAGTCTTTGGCACTGTGGGAATTTGGACTGTGTGAGTACTTGGCGTCTTCCTTTATTAACACCTTCTCGCTGTTCTCATTGAGTTTTGCAATTTCATACTCCTTATCTCATTTCTAAAAACTGAATCAGAGAGGAAGTGATCTTAACTGAGGGCTCTTGTGTTCTGAGTGTGAGTTAATGTACCAAATGGGGACACACAAACAGCAGCAAGTAGTATGGACGAATGGCACCGCAAATCCAGATGTGAGCTCCTGGAGCCGCCACCTGCCTGAAGCCTGGGAAAAGACAAGGGAGTGAAAACTGAAAACAATTTGTTACTATTAATTATTTATATATATAGAATACAGGCAGTAAATTACAGTTTTAATTATTTTGTTTTGGGGGGGGTGGATAATAAACTTGCACCAAGGAGGTATTTGATTCCCTGATACATGTTAAATAATTACATTTAAATAGATAGGGGACCAAAATGAGCTTGATACCTCGTACATACTAAACAATTATGCTGTAATTTTACTAATCTAAAACAGTGGGTTCCCAACCTGAATTCCAGGAGTCGCCAAATGTTTGTGGAGAATAAAATAGAATAACATATTGTGGCTAGCAGCTCGGAATGAGAGACAGGAAGCAGCTCTCAGTGATATCATCACAATAAATAAGTAAAATGACAAATAGATAATACTAATAACTACAACAGGCATATTTAAAGTGAAACACAACATGCAGTTGTACAAAGAGCTATTGCATAAAATATGGCCTACCTGAGGAAGTGGTTGTTTTAAAAGAAGAGCCAACAGATGTTTGCTCTGATAAGTAATCATACAGTGCTAAATGTTTCCATGTAAGAAAAAAATAAGAGGAAGAGTTATTTACCCTGCCATGCATTTAGGGTGCAAGCTGAGCTACGATGTAAGGGTTGTTTTCTTTCCATCAGATTTGCTGTAGCTGTAACAAATGGATCAGTGAACCTCACAGAAGGAGTCCCTTACATCAGGTTGGTACGATTCCTCTCCGTCCTCAGAGATGATGAAGAATAAATCAACTATTTAAAGTGAACTTATCAAACCAATTCAATTAAACAAGTTCATGTTGAATGATAATGATTCTATTTTCTCACTCTCCCTTTAGTCAGTGTGGCACTTACAACCCTCAGAGCTGTCTCTTCGCCCAGATCTGCAACATCTGCTCTGTTTTAGGTAATCACAGATACATTTATGCCATTCTTGCTAGCGGGAGTTCTGTTCATCGTATGCTCTAACCTGCTTCAAAATTAACTTCAAGCAGCTATTAATCAGGGCTGTAGCTGTCAAGTCTCCTTTTGAAGTCTCGGACGTGTGCCTGATTTTTAATTTTTTGCTATGGTACTGTTTTCCTTTAATCATAATTATTTTCAAGCCATTTCTCTGTGCCTCTCAGCTCTGTGGATAGTGGTGATCCGTTTCCAGCAGGTTAGGGATTTTGGTAACCATGGAAAAGCCAATATTGCCAGCATTGTTTTAGGATTCATCTCCTCTACAGGAATCTCTGTCATTGGAAACTTCCAGGTAACAATAATACAAATAAGAATGAATAACTTTTCTCTTTTTCCTAACCCATAATAATCCACCTTCTCCCTCTACATGCACAATTTAGCAATCAGTCTTGAAGAGTATTCACCTTTTGGGAGCGTTCCTGGCTTTCTTCCTCGGCATGGCCTACTTCTGGGTGCAGCTGTTTCTAACCTATCGGGCTCAGCCGTCTCAGGACCGATGCTGCATTGGTCCTGCCAGGGCGACCTGCTGCATCCTCTGTACCATCTTGGTCATCAGTAGTATCCTTCCTTCTGCGAAAATAAATTCAGCATTAAGAAACAACACATTATGTTAATATATAATGCAAGCTATGGTTATTCTAGAAAAGATTGTGTGTATTGTTGCAACCACAATTTTAAAGCACATATATTTGTTATCCAGACTAGTGGTTTCCAGCCTTTTTTGTTTGACGTACCCCTGCAGTCCTGTTTACCACCATGCTCCATAAAACTGGATATTAATTAGATTAACACTGTTATTATCTTACATTTCAACAATTTATCTTAGGTTTAACTATCCATTTCAACCTTTATCTGCTTCTTTTAGTTTTACCATTTATCTACTACTGTTGGCAAGCTTTACCTATTTCAACCTTTATCCGCTTTTAGCTATTTTAAAGGTCCAGTGTAAAATTTACAAGGATCTGTGGCAGAAATGTAATATAATATTCATTGGTATGTTTTCATTACTGGATAATCTCCTGAAAATAAGAATCATTGTGTTTTTGTTACCTCAATAAGCCATTTTTATCTACAGAGGGAGAGGGTCCTCATCTGTGGAGGCCGCCATGTTGACCCTCTGTGTTTCTACAGTAACCCAAAACGGACAAACCAAACATTAGCTCTCGATATTGATAGCGTTTTCGAGTTTTTTGCGCACCCTATTTCTCGCTTGATGTGAGGCGAGGGCATTGTAATCTGCAACTACACCACTAGATACCACTAAATCCTACACACTGGTCCTTTATCTATTTATCCATTACTTTTAGCTAATCATTTAAATAATTTATCCATTTATATTTGCTATCTATTATCCATTACTATCTATTTGCTTATGTATAATTTAGTTTAGCTACTCTACAATTGCTCCACATACCTTCCGTCCACTGCATCAGTACATTACTCCCTGGGGTACAAGAGCCCATGGTTTGTAATCACTAGTTTACAGGGTTGAGCTGAAAGCATGAGCTGTACCACACAACCACGAACCAGAACAGGAAACTCCAGAGAGGTACAAGAGGAAGGTGCTCAGAACACAAACTTGAACTACATCATCTTTGATTTACTATTGTATTTAATATGATGAGTATTTATTCAGTGTTAAGTTCCTTAACCACTCTCCCCTTCTTCAGTGACTGTTCTCCACAATACAGGCTATCCCTCTGAGGCCGCTGTGTGTGAATGGGCCTTGGTCATGGTGTTCTTCATGCTGTTTGGCCTTTTTGCAGCCGAGTTCAGACACATCGACTGCCACCACCTCAATGTACAGAAACAAGCTCCTGGGAATGACTGCAACACTCCCTCAATAGAAATAAATAGTTATGTCGCAAAATGCACTTAGCTGAAAACACACACACACACACACACACACACACACACACACACACGGTTGGAAAACAACGATCCTGTTGGGCCTACAGTTGCCATATTGTCTAATGTAGGTATAATGCCGTATAGTGTTAGTGTTAGTGTAGAGTTTGCTGCTTTAGTGTCTTTCAGTGACTCAACTAGGAGTTTCTCTTATTCTATTTATTATATATTTTCCATTTGAATCAATATATATACAATAATAATAGATTTGTTTTATAGATCTATATTTGTATCTTTTAACAAAAGCTGTATTTGAAACTTTCTGAACATTGTTATCTCATACTTCTATCAAATGTTTATAAGATTTACAACCTTTACCTTTTCATGTCATCCTGCCGTTCCATGATACACACATAAAGATTGTAAAGAACACATTATGTTTCTATTTCTTTAAAATGATAATCTAGCTATTGTTTTTATGACTAACTGATTTCCTTGCCTGCCGATAAAATGGCTTGTTTTGTTCAACCCCAGAATTAGTTTGGTCACGAGACAGAAAAAGATCCCTACAGCTGAGAATCTTGAACTAGAGAAGTAGAAGAATTAGGCTTGAAGTAGGCTTGAAAAATAACCTGAAAGATTATTCAGTGATCAAAATAGTTGTTCTTTGTGTTTCTGCTTTTAACTGACTGATTGTTCCAGCTCTAAAAATAGTCAAGGCTGCATGTAATTAGACAGAGCTTATAAAACTAAACCTGCACTGCAATAAATATGTACTAACACATGGTGGCACCGTTCCACTATCATTGACTGTGCACAGTTATTCCGTAATCTCCATTTAAATTGAACTATATATAAACAATGTATTCACAGTTGAAACACTTATAAAAACCATCCATGCATATATTATCTCTTCTCATATATTTCTATATCTCTATAACTCTATAACACAGTGTCCATCTTAAGTATGTGACATGAACTCCCGATTAGTGCATAGACAGTGAATACCAGGAAAAGTCTGCTTTTTTTCCCCAGCTCTCTCCCCACCTGTCAGCTGGGCAATACGCATAGAGGAAGGGGAATAGAAAAGGAGGATGGAGGTACGTATGAAGGAAAAGTTTTGTTAGCAAGAGAGAAAAAAAAGTTCCCTTATGACATAATGAGAACTGTTTCCCGCTATTCGATACATTTCATGTGCTTTTATTTTGCAGCACTCTGCAAAAGTCATTAATAAAAGCTCTGTAATACAAATGAAAATGTTTGTTAGTCTAGCTGAGGTTTAAGATCATCTCTCTACAGCACTATAGATCCTCCTTTCTTTATAATAAAATCCTCTTTGCACATTGAAGATGCCCTTCAACATCCCCACAAACAGCACTGACCAGCAGTGGCGCTGTGGAGCGACGCTGGCTGATGATCATTTCACTGATGGGAAAATGCAGCTCTGGTGCCGTGCCAGCATGTTTTTGGAAGATGCCTCTAGTTTAAACAGAGGTTCTACATTCAGCACAATTTGTCAGGGCTATTTGAGATGGGCAAAACAATGGAGCTCTCATAGCCATGCTGATAGTGGGAGAGGTCCTACTCTTGGCTCCAGCGCTCAAACTGTTCCTCTCATCCAAGTTCTCTGTTTATTTAAACATATTGTCCTGGGGTATGTTGGCACTGACTTTGGTCGCACTTTGTGATCAAATCTTCACTTTTGTTTGTATCTTTTATTGATGTCATTAAAAAAAAAAAATCACTGGGGCCATGTAGAGAAGCTTGAGATGGGAATACTGGGCCCCCAGTGTCCTGCTGTGTCCCGACAGCATTCTTTCACATACTCCATGCTGTGTGATCACCAGAGGGGGGCTTTGACGAGCGGGCACAGGGATCAGACGGACAGCTCGGAATTCTATGGGAATTTCTCAAGTGCTGTTAGTTACCAGTGTTTCTGCTGCAGACAGCATGCAGATTTTACACTTGCAGTTAACAGTGCTGTCTCGGGTCTCTGATAAACTTGTTTACTCCAGCTGACTGCCAACATGAACTTCAGGTCGCTCTTGTGATGCCTGTATTTACTCCAAAATGCAGATGTGGACTGGGTTCATTTGGAATATTTAAAAACCAGAGAACTTGTTTTGGCCTACCTTGCACACAAACTTTTGAGCAAGCCAAGAATCTGACACATAAGTTCACCTCAGATGGTGTAAATATTTTTTTGAAAGTGCTATCTATCTTGGCAAGGTCTGCTGAAATGACAAAATGTTCTTGAATTATACAACAGCGCATACAGAGGAATCCAGATGGAAACCATTGGCGCCAAAATACCCTTAACCCTGCTGTTTTCATTAGTGAGTATAAAAGGCTTCTGATAAAGTAATAAAACTCATAAAATCACCTGTAGCGATGTGCAAAGACTGGGAGGCCCTTGATGTAAATGTCAGAAAAAGGTCTGGATCGTCTATTGTAGTGTAGGAGAACATGCTTTATGTGACGCCCGCCTTGTTGCTTTTGACTTTGATTCAAGAAGGAGGTAATAGCAGACATGCTTTCTAGGCCTATATTGTAATCTCTCCTAACACCTGCTCGTGCTCTAGTCTCTCTTATCCCCTCAACAGCCCTTGGCCAGAAACAACAGCAATGCTTTCCTATCATGCAACGGAGCAGTCGCCTCCAAGTCCCGCTATCAGACATCGGAGCGGTAGCCCTTAGCCGCTCGGTTTCTCCGTGACTGTGCAGCCTGTCAGCTCTTATCATCGTAGAGCCAAATCCTGTGCATTCCATCTCGAAAAGGCCACTTTATCGGCAAGACAGCTGGATGTGCCAAACTTGAAGGTTTTAGAGAGGAACGGGAGTTAAGTGTTGGGGCAGAACGGTTGATGGAGAGGCGGAGGGATAGCAACACGGCGAGAATGACAGACACAGAAGAGAGATGGGATTGTCCAGAAGTGAGAGATCTAGAGAGAGATATAGAGACCTACAGACAGGCAAGAGTCTCAGAAAGATGGACTGAGTGATAGAGACAGAAGAGAGAGAGAGAAAGAAGAGTGGGCACCAGCAGCCGTGATCTCACCCTCCTCTCCTCTCCTTTGGCATTGGCTTCCAGAAAGCTGCCCTTTTGCTGAAAAATGCCAAGCGCACCGCATTCCACCGGCCACACAAAGGCCCTCCCTCGTCTCAGCTGCACAGGCACAATCAGACAAGGGATAATTATATAATTAGGCTGGCTGGTGCAGACAGGGACCCTCAGATGGTGTGTTGGTGTGTCATATTTATGTTATCAGACAATGAAGAGAGTCTGGCCTTATCAGAGGAGGCAGCAGAGTGTGTGGGGGGCTCCAGCTGTGGCACTTAGGAACAGATTGTCATGATACAGAAGAACGGGTCGATAGAATGACCTTCAGCCTGTGGCCCGGCCCGAGATCAGGGCCTGTATTGTGGCTGAGCCTTGGTGTGTATGTGTGTTGGGTTACTGTGATATGTGAAGAGGTGGGGACTTTCGGGGCTCCGACAACCAGACGATACAAACTGACAGGAGGCGAGAAACATAGAAGGCGAAATTATAGTTAAGCGGAGAGAGAAGAAACAACTCATTCACATTCGTGCAGATACGCGTGAACATGCACATGCACTTAATCAGTAGTTCCAAACTTTTGTGTGTGTACCTCCCCAACCCTGTCTGAACTCAAGTACCTCTTTGTTCCAAAAGTGTTCGTTAGATATTATCCAACACTAATAATTATCTAAAAGTGGATATTTTTACATTATTTTTTATTTTTTTAACTATCCCAACCATTTACCCACTCCTTTGAACTTTATCACCTTTGATTCATTACTTGCAGCTGTTTAAACTTCTTTGCTCACTTGCTAACTCCTTATTTTACACACTCTAGATGCACAGTGGTGTTCAGGTACATGAACTCAGTACATGGATGTCTAAAAATAAAAAGTCATATCTGTTTTTCCCCCAAACATGCACCCCTGGCAACTGCACATGTACCCCTGGTCGGGGAATCTCTGCACTAAATGACAACTAGAATTTACAGCCAAACAGAGAAGACCACCTCTTCCCTCTTGTTGAAGCAGGATCCACGCTCCCAGACGAGAATCGAGCCAGTGTCCCGCTCAGTTGGCCACCACCCAACAATCTCCCCTTGCACCGTGGCCTTGGCTTTGGGTGTGTCTCCACTCGCACGGGACAGCACAGAATAGACTATTGTTGATCGCGCAAGACAGAGAGCCAGGGGAAGAAGGAGGGGTGGTGGTGGTGGTGGTGGTGGTGGTGGTGTTGGGTGACTGGAGATGGTGGGGGGAGAAATTAGCTTTTAACGAGCGCCCGAAAAGCACATGGACAATGAAACATGGCTCTCCTCCCAGTTACATGCATGTGCACTGATGCAGGCCCACTGGACATTTATATGCACACACACATACAAACATGTCTTCCTTCAGTATTTCTAGATACAAAGAGCTCATGAGTCTGAAAGCTGCCATGTGAAACTTTGTGTAAAGCTGAAAGGCATGTTCACAGTGAAGTGTATCAAGAGTCACCCTACAATTCTCAAACATCGAGTAGCTTTAGCATTTTGGGAAATACGCTAAAAGATACAGATGTAATTTCTTTAAGTATTTTTTGCCTGTGACCAGTGACTTCCTCCCTGGTTAATGCTTTATTTAACTAGTTTGGCACTGTCTAGAATCCACAGTGCATATGTAACCATATTCATGAAGGATGTGTTTTTTGGGTACTTGTTTGTCCCCACTTTTCTCATCCTCAAGAGAAGAAAACAGAATGTGTTACAGTCAAAACACAACTCAGATTTTGTGTAACTTAGCCTAGTGTCTGTAAATTTAAATGAGTCATGTGGGTGGTTTTGCATATTTTAGACAGTGAACTTTAGAGTTCCTTACATCATTTACAGCAGTTCTGACCATTTTTCAAAGCACACCATAGATTTCTAGATTGATTTTTAGCTTCTGGGCAACCTTCCAGTTTCTTGGTGATAGAAAATCAATCTGAAATACACGGTGTGCTTCAGAAAAGTAATGTGAACCATTGAAGTTAATGAGGTAAAACATGCAGAATCAGTATGCATTTACTATACACTACATAGAGTATTTTCTCCTCCTCCGAGTATATAGTGCATAACTATAATATGCATGCATTTACAACAAAAAATATCCCGATGTGAGAAAGCAGATGAGAAACTGTAAAGAATTTCTTTATCTCACGTAACCACAGGTGACTGTTTGCCTTAAACATCAGCAAACAGTCATTAGCACTTTCGAGGCTCCAATTGTCTGTCTCTTTGGTGAGATTACTGCTTTTGAAACACGTGGAAAAACAGATCTTCATACGGTAGAAAGTATCACTCTCATGGCAACAAAAACAACCCTCTTCAATTACAGATTCTCATCCCTCTTGGAGAGGATATTCACATGTAACACTGTGCTGCAGAACTATATTTGGGCTTCAGAAGCTTTTGAGATGGTGAGAAACTACTATCTAAGTAGAAATGAATGCCATCACCAAGTTTTTATGTTTTTAATCATGCTGTTTTTGGATGTTGGCAACAATCTCTTAAGCTTTGTTTGTCCCCAGAGGTTTGCATTGCTTTGGAGCTTTGGTAAACATTTTCCAGAGGAAAAAAAAACTCATTGGGCAGAGGTCAGGTTTATTGGCATGGAACATGAATTAAAAATAAAAACATTTGTAGCATGTTATGTTAATTTGACCAATGTCACTTAAAAGTAAATGATAGAATCTGATTAAGGATGACGGAGGCTTGATGAAGTGACTAAATTAGTCACTTTGTATGAC